TTTTTAACTGTTAAAATTAAGCTAAATTTTAAAATAAAGTATTATGTTTTCATTTGATCTTACTCCTTTAATTATGTAGATATTATTAATAAAGCATATACTCTCTTCCTTAAAAATAAAATGTTTATTAATTTAAAACATAATAGCCAACTTTTATTGAGTGCTTACTCTGTTTCAGGATATGTCACGCACTTTGCTGGAGTTTTCTCATTTGTCCTCATCACAACCCTGTAAGGGCAGTCTCCCTATATTATCTCAGTTTCTGATCATGGAAACTGAGACACACAAAGATCAGGAAGGTGTTTTCCCATGGACAGAGTCAGTATTAGGACCCAGAGAGTTTGAACCCAGAGATCACTCATTTTTATTTTTTATGACTCTTCTAAATTTGTGGGAAGTTGCCATTGTACAGAGTTCTCTAGGCCTAGAGCTCTAGCAAACTTCTTAGACTTTGCCCTGGAGATCGGGTCTTCCTGAGGAGAGTGAAGGCAAGCTGTGAAGGCAGGAACCACTCCTGGAAGATGCGAGATGCAGGCGTGGGGTTAGGCAGTTCCCTGAAGGGCAGAGCGTCTTCGTGTGTGCACAACACGGTGTAGAAACATGCAGATCTCTGGGGAAGAACATTCCATGATCTCCCTTGGGACCACAGTTCTGCTGTGGTTCTTTTATGTTCTCATTGCCCTTTTGTTGAAAGCATAAGCAGTCTTTTCCTGAAGTTATTTTCTTGAACCAATAAAATTAGCTCCTAATTTAACATCGTAGTGTTAGAAGCATGGAAATTAGTTTTTTCTCTCCCAAGTATCAGAATGATGTAGCATTAATACTCTCCCAAACATTATAGCTACCTACAGCCTTCCTTGTTTTTCCCAATTTAGGTAAAACCTGGAATGTAAAAATAGCTGCTGTAATTAAATTAGAGACAAAGGAAATTAAATATGAAAAAGAAGTTGCATACATTTGGGATTTTCCTCTCCTCTTTTCCATCTTTCTTTTGCCCCTTTGACCCTGTGTCTCTCTGTTTATTGATTCTGTCTTCATTTATAATTTCGAATGAATGTTAAAAGCTCAGTGTGTCTCAAGTTCTAAGTGTATTGATCTCCCTGCTCTTACCGTTTTTTCTCGTTTTCCTACTTTCCTTAAGAAAAATGTGTCTTCCATTTGCCCTTCCTCTCCTGCCCCTCAATTTCACATGTATATTGAGTATACTGACATCTTTTTATAATCGTTTTTCTAGTTAAGGATTTGATTGGCTAACAGTCATTGAGGAATCAGCGTGTCCTGGGTGTGTTATGCTTTTATCAGGGACTAATTCAAGTTCCTAATTCTACATATTTTATAATCCTCCTTTTCCCTTTTTTTTTTAATTAGGATATTTTTCTATCTTCTACTTTTCCATGAATAGCTCACAGTTCCTAACGATAATTCTTTACCAAAGATTGTTTTTGTGATCTTAAATGTAAGAATTTTAGTGCCTTAACATGTTATTCATCTGGAACTTAGAACTTGGAAATAATCACAACACCCCAGCATACCTTTGTCTCTTCATCTGTCTTGAGTTTCCGTTCTCGTCGTCATGATTATTCTAACTTGTCTAGCTTGAATATGATTCTTGCTAGTAGAAAAGGTGAAACCAAAATAGGAGCCATCAATCTTTGTTTCCTCATTGTCATCTGTTTTTTATTCTTTTATTTGTTTTCAGTTTATAATTATTTAAGCCCGTTTGCAAGCCTCAGCACACACGGTCAGGCTTCTCAACAATGTCCTTACCATTTTATATGATTTTTCCTATATGCAAAAGTAGTAAAGTTGGCTCATTAGTCTGTGTGTTTAAAGCAACAGATATTTGGATTGAAAATGTCTGATTAAGTAGTGCATGCTAATAGCAGAAATTTGGGGAGGGGCATCTGGGTGGCTCAGTCAGTTAAGAGTCTGACTCTTTTCGGCTCAAAGTCATGATCTCATGGGGGCTCCATGCTCAGTACGGAATCTGCTTCTCTCCTTCCTCCTCTCCTTCTGCCCCCCCACAACCCTCAAGCTCATTCTCTCTCTCTCTCCCAAAAACAAATCTTTAAAAAAGAAGAAATTTGGGGAAATATAGAAAATTTAAAAGAACAAGAGTGATAACCACCGTTGACCTTTTAAAGCTATTTTATGTTCTTGGAATGCTTATGTGATTATTTTTATATTAATATTTGTATATTTATTTATTTTTTAAAAGATTTTATTTATTTGAAAGAAATCACAAGGGGTACCCCTAATATTGTATACTTAAAGGCATATATGTCTGTGTCTTACTCTTTAAGACATTTTAAGTGCATTTATTTAGTTATTGACTTGCTTCATATGGCAAGTTAGATTTAGGTCAGAAATTGTTGATTCTGGGGCACCTGTGTGGCTCAGTGGGTTAAGCCTCTGCCTTCAGCTCAGGTCATGATCTCAGGGTCCTGAGATCAAGCCCCGCATTGGGCTCTCTGCTCAGCGGGGAGCCTGCTTCCCCTCCTCTCTCTGCCTGCCTCTCTGCCTACTTGTGTTCTCTCTCTCTGTCAAATAAATAAATAAAACCTTTAAAAAAAAAAAGAAATTGTTGATTCTGTTCTAGAATATTCATACTTATAATAGTACATATTATTTATTAAGTATTTATGGAGTTACAGAGAAATCATTCTTCTGGTCAAGAAATATTTTTAGGGCACCTGGGTGGCTCAGTCGGTTAAGCAACTGCCTTCAGCTCAGGTCATGATCCTGGAGTCCTGGGATCAAGTCCCTCATCGGGCTACCAGCTCCACGGGGAGTCTGCTCCTCCTTCTGACCTCCCCTTTCATGCTTTCTCTCTCGCCTGCTCTCTCTCAAATAAATAAATAAAATCTTAAAAAAAAATGTTTAGTATTTGAGGTATATAGCATTTAGCATTTAAGGTATTAGGAGCTTTATAGATTTTTATTTCATGTTAAGTTGATAGTCTACAACTCTGAAAATAAAGCATCTTTATTCATTTTAAAACCTACATAGGGGTGCTCAGTCAGTTGGGCATCTGCCTTCGGCTCTGGACATAGTCTTGGGCTCCTGGGATCAAGCCCCGCAAGACAGGGCATCTGTCCCTCCCCTCCCCCACTTGTGTGCTCTTGCTCTCGCTCATAAGAAAATAAAATCTTCTTTAAAAAAAAAAAGATTTTATTTATTTATTTGGCAGAGAGAGATCACAAGTAGGCAGCGAGGCAAGCAGAGAGAGACAGGAGGAAGCAGGCTCCCTGCTGAGCAGAGAGCCCAATGTAGGACTCGATCCCAGGAACCTGAGATCATGACCTGAGCCGAAGGCAGAGGCTTAACCCACTGAGCCACCCAGGTGCCCTGAAAATAAAATCTTCTTAAAAGAAAAATAAAACCTACATAAAGGGGTGCCTGGGTAGCCCAGTTGGTTAAGCATCCAACTCAATCTCAGCTCAGGTCTTGATCTCAGGGTCATGAATTCAGACCCCTGTTGGGCTCCCCAGTGTTGTGGCTAAGCCTCGTTGGTCTTCAGTCTTGTCAGCAGCAATGGCTCACTTTGCATCTTGTGGGCCGGGTTTGGTCCCCGTGCTGTTAAGGGTCATCTGAGGCTGCTGTGAGCTTGTAGTTGGGCAGTGTCTGCAGTCAGACCAGGTACCTGCCCTCTCAACCCCTTTGGCCAGGTCACACTGGACTGCAGGACACCCTCCCTGTATTGTCCCCTTGAAAAGCTTTCATTGGTGGGCGGGTCCTGCAGACAAACCAAAATCCCAGGGTGGCAGTGACCCTGAACTGCAGGGCTCTCTCCTCCATATGCTGCCTTCGAGAGGTTTCTGTGGGTGGGCAAGGCAAGTAGTCAGATCAGGGTACTGTCTCTGCGATGCCACTTTCAAGATTTGCCTGTCCCGGCTGCAGTGGACTGGATGTGTGTGGTGGACCGGATGTATGTGGTTCTCATCCCCTCTCCCCAGGGCAGGAGTCACTTTGGAGTGGTGCTGGTCCTTGCTGGGGCTGCTTGCTGGATGCCATGTGGCTGGAGCCGCTTTGGAGGGTTGTGTAGGCCACTCTTTTGATCTGGTGTTAGATCACATACTTAGGATTTTTTAATTCCATTAGAAAAAGCTGTCTAATTTTTTTTTTTTTTTTTTTGAAGTTCAAATCCAGACAGACCTCTCAGTGACAGACCTCTATCCTGGGAAGATCAATATATGTTATTACTATGAACAAGTAGCTTAATCCCACTTTTAAAATGGGCTAATGCCCTAATAGCTGAAATCTCTCTTGTGCTCTAGATCCTGTTATATGAATTCTAGAGATGGCAGAGTTGCATTCATTGTAAAGCAAGAAAATGCCAAGTGAAGAGAAGACAGCTTGGGAAGAGCTTAGCACCACTCAAGAAATCTCAGCAATAATTCTTAATTTATAATTTTATCCAAATGTTAGTCACACTGAAAACTTTCTCTATGGGGCAGAATTTTCCAGATGCTTTGATTTACACATATGTATGATAGAAACCTCAAAATCAGATCTATTATAAAATCACCCTGTATTAGCAACCTGGGAGGATGTGTATCATGGGATAGAAGCACAAGAATTCAAGAGCTATTTGGCCACATCACCTCTCCCCTCCCCTTTTCTCAGGGCTGAATCCATTTAGGCACAGAGCCAAGGTAATTTCCAGAAATTGGCAGTGCCCTGGCAAATGCACAGCTGCCGCTGTCTCCAGCCCTTGCTTACTAATTTTGCACAAACCACTTCCTCCTCCTGAGACTGAGAAATTCAAAGGGCGAAGGAAGTGTGCCTGGAGGGCAGGTACGGAGGCCCTGCCTCGAGCCCGGGTAGATTCAGGAGTCCAGAAGGATAGCAACACAATGTCCCCCTGCAGCCCTGCCCAGAGAGCTCCTTGCTGATAAAGGTAACATTCCAACCTCGCCCTTTTCCCCTCCTGCTCTCGCTTAGCTTTTTCCATTTGGCTCTTGAGGTTTAAAAATTTTGCCTTTTTTTTTTTTTTCCAGTTCCCTTCTAGTAAATACTAGCTTTGACTTCTCATGAATCAAAAGATCCAAGCAGTCAGTTGCCATGAGGGTGCCGGAGCCAAGTCTGGGCAGGGAGAGAGGAATGGAGAGGGCAAAAGACAGAGCAGAGCTCGTGGGGCTCCCTGTGTTCCTTGTTTCCACGTACCAGCTTCTTCTCTGTGCGGTGGCAGTGCGTGGGCGTACGCATACACACAGGTAAAATTTAGATATTTTTCTCCTCCTACACTCTTCTTAAATGTAGTCAGCTCTGATCATATTTTAAGAGAGTCATGGTGATGATTTTTTTCCCTTTTGTTCTTGTGCCTCCATCTCCGCCTTTGTTGGTGGAGATTGGATCTGCTATTCTTAGTGAGCAGAGGGAAGCCTCTTGGACTACACACAACTTTATACACGCTTTGAGGTGTCTCTCGCCCCTGTCCCCTCCCAGAGCACTGCTGGGTTGCAGTAGCTGGATGGCCTTTCACTGTTCTGTTGACTGGGGCAGTCACACCTCTAGGTGGGTGCTTGTGTTTCCTTGGGAGTGGCTCTAGGGCATCAAGAATAACCCTGTGAATTACTACTGTTTTTTCATCAGTAGTCATGATATCATTGCTATTTGTTTCTTCGTCTGCGTAAACAAACAACCCGACCAGGGAAAGAGTGTAGCGTGAGGAGAGGACTCATCCAACTCTGCCGCTGATGAGGTTGTATCGAGCAAGTCAGCAATAGCCTATGAATTTGAATTTGGACCCATGAATGTGATCGCAGAGGTAAAGCAAGTGGGTTGGACGATATTCCTTGATAAATATCAAACCGAGTGTGATGAGTGTGCTGAAATCGTCTTCCTTTAACTCATTACCTGTACCCGTGAGCACAACTCTACCTCACGTGCATCCTTAACCTCCAAGAAAGAGGAGGAGATTACAAAACACACTTGTGTTTTTCTAACTTTTTGGTATAAGCCCATTCCAGTATGGTGTCATTAGGGAGAAACTCGGGATAAAAATGGACAAAATGGAAATTTACCAGGAATTAACATAAAGTCCTAGAGTTTGATTCAAAAAACAAATTGCACGAATAGGTGTTTGGCTGAAATTCACATACGCTTTTGGGTATTTGCATTATCCTCAAGTTTGCTGTGAGCCAAAAGCATAATGTACACCCTGTGCTGTACAGAGTAGCCACGAGTCCCGACAGCAAAGGCAGATTGGAAGGAACTGCTGAGACAGTGGCCAGGTCAGATAGTATCAAGTCAGCAGTCTTAAAAGACCTCAGGCAGAGCAACATACGAGAGGCCAAAGGCAGTAGAGCTCAAGGAGATCAGCCAGAAAGCAAATGAAGGGATCAGTACTGTCAGAGCTGAGAGATCAGCATGAAAGGAATGGGGTGGGGAGGACGGGGGTGAGGGAAATAGGGGTCAATTCAGCAAGTAGCTATTGCCCTAACAGAGGGCTCCAGCTAGTATTTTCTTTTCTTCTGCCTGCCTCCAGCCTTATATTCCCAGGCAACTTCCTAGCCCCTATATTTCTGCATGCCCTAGAATTCAAGTCCCCCCTAACCTAACCTCATCCCACCCAACTTCGTCTCTCTGATTTGCTTAAAGGGGAAAACCATCTGCGTTATTTCATAGGGTTTCAGAGCCCCTATAAGAAGGTAAGGCATTGCTGTTACTGCTCCTGACAGTAGCTGGCTATTTCACTATTTCTGAGTTACCAGCCGTCTCACACATGCCCTGGTGGTTTCTGCTTGCATCTGCTAATGCTCTTAGCCTCCCTGACTTCCTTTCTTTGGTGGGTCTCAAATCGTCTTCCTTTCAAAGGTTCATCTCAAGTCCTACCTCTTTCATTCAGCCTGAGTGAGCCACTCCAGTCCCCATTACCGTCTGCCCTGTGCACAGCTCTGGGTAACAGAATACCTCTCTGGAGGCCTTAGTTTCTGTGAAGACTAGGCATCATGATTCCATGCCCTGACTTCTTGCACAGGGATTAAATGTTTAGGTCAAGATCATAGCCCACAGCACTTTTTTAACCTGTGAAGCACGCTGAGGAAGCGAAAGTTGTTGTAAGAGGTGCTTTGGTGTTACAAAAAAAGGACAATGGAATTTGGGGATCTGAATTTTGAGTTCTGTTTGTATTTCTGCTCTACCACTTATCCAGTTGATGACCTTAAAAAGGTTTTTATTTCTTTGTAAAATGAGAATGACACTATTACAAGGATTACAGTGCTGGTGCTGACTTACATACCAATTTGTAAGAGCCAGTGGTAACTTTGCAGGTAGGTTACTCAACTATTATTAGCTTGAAATCTGCCATGATGGGAGTATTTATACCAGAGAAATCAGTAAACACTACAAATAAGAGTGTCCCAGTTTTGTTTTGTTTTGTTGTGTTTTTTTTTCCCTTTTCTTTCCCTCCTGCAGAGCTGTTTTACCACTATATTGCTGATTATGCATACTGGGCTGTGTAAATTGTAAGACACTTAGTCTCATTTATCATTAGGAGTAGTAATGGTAACAGTAATGCTTTGTATCCACAGAACTTAGCTTAGTGCAAATCGCAGCTCCTAGCATATATTTAATTAGTATATTTTTAATTTAACTTGGGTTCACCCTTCTATTATTTTGATACTTCTGCCCTAAGCTAAAGGACCTCCCCCCATCCTTATCTCTTCAAATCCCTCTCTACAAAGTGTATTTTTAAAATCAGATAACACTGGGGCACCTGGGTGGCTCAGTGGGTTGGGGCTTCTGCTTTCGGCTCGGGTCGTGGTCCCGGGGTCCCGGGATCAAGCCCTGCATTGGGCTCTCTGCTCCGCGGGGAGCCTGCTTCCCCCTCTCTCTCTGCCTGCCTCTCTGCCTACTTGTGATCTCTGTCAAGTAAACAGACAGAATCTTTAAAAAAAAAAAAAATCAGATAACATAAATAATAGCCGGGTACAGTGCATAACACACTCAGTAAGACTCAAGCCCTCCCTGTCTGTAACTGAGCTAATTACCTTCTTTCCAAACCTTTCTTTCTTCTGATATTTCATATCTCAGTTGATGATATTGGCCATCTATCCATTACCCCAGGTGAGTTATCCAAAAGTCTTCCTCTCTTTTCCCTTGTCCTTACCCATACCCAAGTCTAATCAATCATTAGATCTTGCTTATTCTGCCTCTTCAATCTATCCCCTCCTGCTCATTACCACTGCTCCTGCCTCCGTTCGGGCCCTCATCATTCCCACTTGAAGTCTTCCTCCTAAGGAACACATTGACTTTCAGGGTTTCCCCTTCAATCCAACCTCTACTTCTATAAATGTAATTTCAAATTACAGATTTGAGGGGCGCCCAAGTGGCTCAGTCGGTTAAGTGTCTGCCTTTGGCTCAGGTCAAGATCAGGGGTCCTGGGATCAGCCCGGCATTGCATGAAGCTTCCTGCTCAGCGGGGAGTCTCCTCCGTTAACCGCCCACCCGCCGCCATGTGCACGCACATGTGTGCTGTCCCTCAAATAAAATTTTTACAATAAAATAAATTAATTAATTAAAAATTGGACCAAATCACTCCTTCAATTCAAATTTCTTAATGGCTGGCTGTTGTCTCGAGGATAAAATCCAAAAGCTTCAGTTTGTCATCTGGGCCCACCACTTCCCAATACTTCCTGCAATGTCTAGTCCCACTTTTATCTGGTTTACCCTCCAACCCAAGCAACATTTCCTCTATGACTTCCCTGGACGTATTTGATGTTTGTTTTTCTGAGCTCCTGTAGCACCTTGTTCGTGTCTGTGTACCATATATCTAACCACATGGCTCTTATTGTCCATTGGTCTTTCCCTCTAGATTGTAAGTTCCTATAGAGCAGAAGCCTAGGTACCATTCATTAATTCCTAACACATTGTATAGCTTATAATAGGAGCTTAGTACATGTTTATATGAATGAATGAGACTTCAAAGGAAAGGGCATTTTCATTGGTTCATTCACACAAGCTACTCATAGGGTATCATGATGAAAAAAATGCTTAAAATTTGCATCTCAGTAATGCAGATGAGAAATTCATAAAAAGGGGGTAGTTTCTTTTTATCTGCAAGCCCCAATATGGGATACTATGACCCCCATCAACTAAAATTTAAGACTCTTAGCTTAGCATACAAAGCTCCTTTCAAAATGGTCCTTTTTTTTTTTTTTTTTTAGAATTTTTAAAAAAGATTTTATTTATTCATTTGAGAGAGAGTGTGAGAGAGAACACAACCAAGGGAGAGGCAAATGGAGAGAAAGAGAAGCAGACTCCATGCTGAGCCTGACGTGGGGCTCCATCCCGAGACATGGAGATCATGACCTGAGCTGAAGGTGGAGGTCTAACCATCTGAGCCACCCAGGCGCCCCTCATCCCTGACTTTCTCTCCATTCTTATCTTTCTCTCTGTATATGTACATACAACCTACACTCCAGCCACTTCGATCTGTCATATATTCCATCATCTTTCAGGGATCCTTGGCCTTGTTCATACTTTCTCCACCCTTGTTGTATCCTCTCCTTCTTCTCTCACTCACCCCTTCTTGTCTCACCCCTTTCTTGCCAACCCAATGAGATTCTACACTTCTAACACTGATCAATAGTTAGCACCTTTGGGCAGCTAGCCCTCAAAGTGTCTCCCTCTTCTGTGCTCCCGGAGCACTTGGTTGATTCCTGCTAAGCACTGTGCTGTCAATCACTGTTGGTCTGTTTCTTACCCCCTCTGTAAAGTGAGATTATCTTTATACCCTGGTTCCTGTTAAACAAATCCTAGATGTTTAGTACAGAGTGAAGGAAGGAGTAATTATTACATAAGTATTTATAAAGAAAGTAAATTTCTGATAAGAGACAATGAATTAAATTTAAGATTGAATTTGCATGAACTGACCAATCTAGACAATTCCATGTCTTTATTTTCAGGGATTAGGTAGCCCCGAGAAATTGGTACTAATGGACAGATCAGAAGCAAAGAATAAACTTAAAGCACTGGGACTTAGTTTGTTGCTCCAGATTTGACACATTATAGTAAGAACAGATTTTATATCTTAGGAATTTGTGTTGTCACTTATGTGAGACATTTACTTCCATGACTTAACGAATACCTTAGAAAGCACAATAATGCCCCAGTAGAAAAAACACTAAAGAAAACAGAAAAAATTTGAGCAGGATGTTGTTCCTAATAAAACAATGTTTATCAAGACATTTAATTTTGGAAAGGGAAACAATTTTTTTTTCTGATTAGGAACCTAATATATAATATTTGCCAGTCTGTTTAGGCTGCTATAACAAAAATACCAGAGACAAGATGGCTCAAACAACAAATAGGTATTTCTCACAGTTGTGGTGGCTGGAAGTCCGGGATCAAGGCACTGGAATATTTGATATGTCTGGTGAGGGCCTGCTCCCTGGTTCATAGACAGCGGTCTTCTCACTGTGTCCTCACAGGGCAGAAGAGGCAAGGGGGCTCTCCAGAATCTCTTTGAGAAAGGGGCATTAATCCTGTGAGGGCTCTACCCTTATGACCTAACCACTTCCCAAAGGAATTGAGTTTCAGTGTATGAATTTTGGAGCAAGGGGACAAAAACATTCATTCCATAGTGACATATTAATGCAGAATGCTTGGAATATTTTGAAAAACACTACATAAACTCCTCCCAGATCTAACCACCTAGAATTAACAATAGTTAATAGTTAACAATAGTTAATTCTTGGGATATATTCTTCCAGTCTTTTTTCTTATATATGTATTTGTATGTCCTTTCCATTTAAAGGACGGGGATGGGTGAAACAGGTGGTGGGGATTAAGGAGTACACATGTTGTGATGAGCACCAGGTAACGTATTGAGGTGTTGAATCACTCTATTGTACACTTGAAACTAATATTACACCGTATGTTTACTGGAATTTAAATAAAAACTAAAAAATTATAAGGGTTTATGTTGTATATATGGTTCTAACCTATTTTTTATATTAACATGTCATGAACGCTTTTTCAGGTTCGTAAGGACTCTTCTACAACGTGATTTGTAATTACTGCACAGTATCCCACCGTTTGGATGTATACCGGTGTTTAACCAATCTCCATTGTTTCAATGTTTTTATTATTATAAGCGGAAGTGTGGTAGTGTGAGTGACTCAGAGAAGGGTAATCTCATGTCCTCCTCTTTTCCCCAGGTTTTGGAGCCCTCTCTTGCATCTGAATTCTGTGCCACTAATCCTCTGAGTGTCATCTCAGGATCCTGGGCACACTCATGGCACCATGGCCAACACGCAGGAGCCCCTGAGCTGCTCCGCTTCCCCACACTTGCCCTCGAGTGAAAGCAGGACCTTCAGCAGACTCCAGGATGAACTCACGCCTGTGGGGAACCACCCTTCCCCCACGCTCCTTAAGGACCAGCAAGAAAAGGGGGTGGCACAAACAGAGCTAACCGAGAGCATAAACAGCCCCATCACCACAACAGTGTTGACAAGCGTGAGTGAGGATTCCAGGGACCAGTTTGAGAACAGCGTTCTTCAGCTGAGGGAACATGATGAATCAGAGATGGCCATGTCTCAGGGGACCAGCAACACCATGGATGGAGAGAGCACAAGTGGAACTGAAGACATCAAGATCCAGTTCAGCAGATCGGGCAGCGGCAGTGGCGGATTTCTGGAAGGACTGTTTGGATGCTTAAGGCCTGTATGGAATATCATTGGCAAGGCATATTCCACTGATTACAAATTGCAGCAGCAAGGTAAGCTGCAGTGTAAACATACCACCACCATTCCCTGGATAACCTTGATTAAAACCCTAGTGCCAGGGCGCCTGGGTGGCTCAGTGGGTTAAGCCTCTGCCTTCGGCTCAGGTCATGATCTCAGGGTCCTAGGATCGAGTCCCGCATCGGGCTCTCTGCTTGGCAGGGAGCCTGCTTCCTCCTCTCTCTCTCTCTGCCTGCCTCTCTGCCTGCTTGGTCTCTCTCTGTCAAATAAATAAATAAAATCTTAAAAAAAAACAACAACAAAACCCTAGTGCCAGATGAATACCCTATACCGATCTCCTAAAAACCTTCTGACTGCAACAGATACACATTTGGTTGGTCTTTTCTGGCCAAAGCCCATCTTCTGTAGTTGTCCAGTCTAGGGGTATCAAGTAGAGCACGTAGAAGACAATCCACAGTGTTAGGAGGAAGAAAATGCTAGAGCTCCTGTTCCTTCTATCATCATTTTAAGTTTCTATTTTCATCCATGTTTTCATATATGTTTGGTATTTTAATAAAGTTGTATAGATACATAACAAAAATAAATCACCTAGTGCATGTTTGAAAATTTTTTTGTTGAAAGTTCATGCAATGATGGCCACTGGATTAATTCAAAACCAGACAGATGCCATATGGTTTCGTGCCTGAAGATTGTGTCCTGGCTTAGACTGTAGTAAAAACGAATCATTTTCTTACAGCCCAGACACAGAAAGCTCACATTGTAAGGAAAGAACAAATATACAACCAATCTTGAGAAGCATTATTATGTCTAGACCCCACAGCTTTTTAAAAAGTAAATTAACTCCCATCACGGTATAACATCCATATACATCTATTCCAATTCAAGCATTATGCTTCTGAAGGAAAGAGAGCACATGGTCCTATTGTTCTTTATCACTTCATTTCTGTTCTTTAAAAGAGTTTTTTTCTTCCTGATAGCAAGAGTAATATATATGGTTAAATTGGAATATATAGGTAAGTGTCCCCCCAAAAGTAAAAATATTTATCTATGATCCTCGGTCTCCACTATTAATGTTTTTGGTATATGCTATGTTAGTCTTACTATGTGTGTTTGTGTGTGCTTTAAAAAAAACCAGAGTCAAATTATTTCGTTATGCCTTTTCATTTCACATTTTGAATATTCCCCATATCATGAAATATACTTCAGCATTTTTAATACCTACATAATACTAAATTATGTGTATGTGCCAAGATTTCTTTAAGCAATCCTCTATTCCTTGACAATTTGTTATTTTTTAGTGATTATAAGCTATACTGCAATGAACAACTGTTTATTACTTAATTTTCACACATATCTTTATGTCTGTGATCATTTTTACTATATCTTTGATTTCCTGAAGATAAGTTTTTAGAAGAGGAATGGTTGGGTCAAAAGGGTTCATGGCTTTTTGAGGCTTTTTATACACATAATTGTAGGCTTATATAAATGATTCCATTGTTAACAGTTCTCTCATCAAGAAATTTTGGAAAGGACCAGAAATGTAGACCAGAAATGAGAGTCTGTCTTATTTGTTTTATAACTGAATGTTGGACTCTGTGACTCTCTCTTAATATATTCATCTGGGGGTGCCTGGGTGGCTCTGTCGGTTGAATGTCTGACTTTGGCTTAGGTCATTATGTGGAGGTCCTGGGATCGAGCCCCACATCAGGGAGCCTTCTTCTCCCTCTTCATCTGCCCCTCTCCCCCTCAAATAAATAAATAGAAATCTTTAAAAAAATTAAATAATATATATATATTCATATCTTTCAGTTGAGACTATTGACAGCTTTTCCACAACAGCCAGTCAACCTCAGTCACTATTGACCACTTTATGTGTATTCTGTTTTTCCGATTTCTGAAATATTTTCCTTAAACCTATATCTCTCTTAAACCTCTCCCTCTATATGCTTTCCTCATAAGTGTATTGGGATTTTCTGGTAAATCTGTGGATCCCAGTTGTGCTTTCCAGGATTTGTCAGTCACAGTATCCTTTCCTGTCAGTCACATCATCCTTTCCTGTACATGCAGAACATCTTTGTCAGTCTGTAAGGTTGTTCTGTCTGTCTGTCTGTCTGTCTCACTGTCTTTCATACATCCTGCACATCCCACCCTTCTTTTACCCTCTATGGTCTTAAAGTTTCAGGAAATTAAAAAGTTGTTCCTTGTCACACAAAGGTGGGGGATTTCAAAGTTAAACAGTGTTATTATTTTTTTTAGTGGGAATAAAGATAAGCATAAGGAGGAAAATAAAAAATCACTTGTTATCCCACAAACCCAGAGATAACCACCCTTAATTTATTATTTTTTTAAAAGTTCCCTCTTCTCTGCTTAGACACAAAACCTACTTATATCTGCTTATCTGATTATGTGATAAAACTACATTGGGCTTTTAGGGTCTTAACTTGTTCAGTCTAATAATTATTTTGGTGGTAATTTGGAGATCTCAGGATCCAAATGCAGCATCAAGGTTCAGGCTCATAAAGAGGGGAAACAGACACATCCTATGTATCCATCAAAAGGAGCTTTAAAATTTGGGAGGCGGAGGTGCCTGGGTGGCTCCATCCATTATGAGTCCGATTCTCTATCTCAGCTCAGGTCTTGGTCTTAGAGTTGTGAGTTCTAGCCCTATAACAGGCATGGAGCCTACTTAAATTAAAAAAAAAAAACAAAACTTTTTTAATTGTCCTGTAAACTTGTATTTAATTGTCTTCTGATTGATTATGTGACTGACAGAAAGGCTTATTCAAGAGTAAATAGGAAACGGGCCTGGTCAGCTTAAGCTTATAGGGCAGCTTATAGCTGCCTAATTCTTCAGCAGATGACAGGCTATCCTCCTGTGGGCTGGTGTGGCCAGGGCCCAGAAAGAGATTCACTAGCCAGAAACTAAGGTAGTTTTTTCCTTGTCAGCTCTGGGATCCGGGAGCTAATCTTTAATCCTGGATTACAGTCAACCAAAGGAGAGCACACAGAACAGCTGTTCTCTGCATTCAATACTTAAAGGGAAACTTCACTTGATTTTACAGAAATCTTAATGAGCTCTTCATCTCCCATTTAGTTGGTTGGTAGTGAAGTCCAAGTAAGGTAGTATGTGTAATAGAAATATTTTACTGCCAAATAGTTTCCAGTCCTAAAGCCAGTATTATCATAGCTATGTCTGAATACAAACAAAGGAGAACATAGGCCTTAAAAGTGGGTGGGCATGGGGCTTTTTCTCGGTCTTAGAGATCACAGTAGATATTGGAATTAAGAAAATAGTCATAGTGATGAATCAGAAGATAGAAGCTGGGGAGGAGTACCAATGGACAGATATAAAAGCAGAAAGTCTGGGACGAACCCTAGAGGGAACACAGCCAGGTTCCATTGTTACGTCGTTATCTTGCTGTCCATTATTGGGTCCCCCAATTTTGCACATCCTCATTGCTATCATTCTTTTTCCTGTCACTTTCCTATTCCTTGACTCCCAGCTAGATATTGTCAGGGACATTGGGATGGGATAAAAGGACTAAATCACATCAGTCAGTTTTACTTCTGATCATGAGTTCCAGGGAAAAGATTTATGGAAAAGTGGTTGAAGTGTCACTTAATACTCTGTTCCTAGATTACCAGTGTGGTCCCCTCTATTTTTCTGTGGATAATTAACAATTTGCTAACCACAGCTGAATAACACAGGCATGAGCTACTATTGGCAGAGGAAAATTTTATTTTCTAGTATAATCTCATCAACCTTTGGTGTTTCCCATTTCATAAAAATGCTATATAATAGGCATTATTTACTTAAAAATATAATAAATTGTAGGGGCACCTGGCTGGCATGGTAGAGCATGTGACTCTCAATCTTGAGACTGTGAGTTCGAGCCCCATGTTGGGTGTAGAGTTTACTTTAAAAATACATATATATTAAAAATATAGCAAATTATGATACAAACATTATAAAATGATATGAAAAGAAAGAATTATGTAACAGATTGGTTTGGAATCATTCAGTAACAACATGAAAAAAATTACTGTGCCTCGGTCCTCACACCACACACCAAGAAAAACTCCAGTTGGATGTATAGGTTCAACTTTTTAAAAAATCAACTGTAGATCATTCTCAGAAGATTGACTAGGTCATAGAAGATATTACAAAGGAAATGACAGGCATCTATGAAAACATTTTGTTAAAAAAATAATAAAATACAAAGTCTTTTTAAAAAATTATCTTCATAGGTATCAAAGAAATAGAAAAACTCCTTCACATTTATGAGAACTGTGAGACCCCTGACAGATAAATGCACAAAGCAGAAATGTGACAATCCATGCAAAGCAGATGTGAGCATTAAACAGATGTGGAGAAAATTATTCTACATCCCTGGCAATTAAAGTGGTGCGAACTTGGGGCGCCTGGGTCGTGCAGTCAGTTGAGGGTCTGTCTCCTGGTTTCAGCTCAGGTTGTGATCTCTGTGTTGGGAGTTTGAGCCCTGCATTGGACTCCCTGCTTGGTGAGGAGGCTGCTTGGGTTTCTCTTCCTCTCCCTCTGCCTCTGCCCCTGTGTGCATTATCTCTCTCAAATAAATAAATCTAAATGAATGAATGAGTGAGTGAGTGAGTGAATAAATGAAGTAGTGCAAACTTATAAAACATTATTTACATCTAAATAACTTAGAACCCAAAAGACTATCGACGGTATTCATTGCTGGCAAAGTTACACTCATTCATTACTGCTATCAGCAAAAACTAGCGAAGCCCTTTTGGGTGACAAGTTAGAAGGTATAGCAAAAGCCAGGAAACGGTACTCTAACCTAAGAACTGAGCCTGAGGAAATTGTATAAAGAAAGAAAAAAGTATCAAATCTGAACCAGCAAACAAAAAGACGGAAACACAAGTACAGAAAAGGTCAACGAGTACCGTAAGCCACTACTAAAGCTTATAATGAGATCTGTATATACATGGGGAACACACAATACATGAGAAAAGTAGAAAAGGTTATGTGTCAGCTACAACTTCTATAAAGGTGCATACATATGAGCAAAGAGTGGAAGAGAAGATGAAAACTGAATATGGAAAGGGATTGCAGATTGAATACTTTGGGGTTTTTTTTCCTAATATTTGCTGGTGTTTCTAGCATTTCACAGTAAATAAAGATTGAGTAAATAGGGGAAAAAAACACCCAAAGAGGTCTAATTTTAGTAGTTATCATATGAAAAATTAAGCTAACTTGGGCTTTTATAAGTTTTTCAGAAAAATATTGCCCAGGATGTGCTTGCCCCAGAATCCAATAATAGTGCTTTCTTTGGCCCCAGAATGGCCAAAGTGACACTGTGTCTAGTTCTTCACTGGACCGCTCACAGGTAAAACCCTCTGCGAGTATGCCATCGATATCTGGGTCCTGTGGGTGCTGTACAGATAAGCCTGTGGGGACGATGGTGGGACTGTGTGAAACACTTCATACTTCATACTTGTCATTTGTAGCCAGAAAGATCCTCAAAGCAGTCAAGCCCATAACTCACTCTTTCTTCCTGCATTTCACTTGGTTTCATTTGTTTATTTGGTGATTTCATGTTTGTGAGCTATTTGTAGTTCAGAGAAATTTATTTTTATGTAGCATCTATCTAATTTCCATAGAGCAAATACAGAAGAATGGGTTAAATACCTATGCTTTCAAACACCCTCACTATCATTTGTTCTGCTCTATGTCATCCTTTCTGGAAGGTCATGTTTTAACTGCTATAATGAGAAGCCGCATTTTACAAAGAATCTACAGGATTTATTTTCTCTCAAGCTTGAGGAAATGAGAGATGAGGGAAATGTGGTTCCCTTCTAGGTACTGATAACTTCTTTCTGCTCTTCATCACCATAGTAGGTGGGAGCTGATTTGCTTTCAAGACCAGAATATCTTCAAAGCTGACTCAACACTACCTCGTTCAGTATTCTGCAAACAGTGACCTTTCAGTGACTGGTGATCTAACAAAAACCCCTGTAACCTTTAACATTGTCCTCATCCTCTCCTCACTCCATGGGACGCCTCATTCTTTGATGTTTATTTCTTACCAGTGTAGTGACAGTTTGCTGATAAAAAGGGGGACAAGGAGAAGGATCCATGGATCATATTCTCCTTTTTAAGTTCCACGAGATTAAAGCACATATTGATTGGGTTTTTGAAGTATTTTATTTAAAATAGCATTTTATTCCTTATAAAAGTAATATAAGCTCATGATTAAAAAAAAAAAAGTTCAGGAAAGGATAAAGAGCATAATATGAATCATCGATAATGTGACCACTTAGAAATGACTCCTGTTACCTATTTGGTGCAAAGAAAATCAAATTCTAAGAAAGAGAAACTTGAAATTACTGCATCTATATGAGTAAATCTATCATGGCTAATGACCCTCACATTTACTTCATGGGAGGCAAGGTGGCATAGTGGGGAAAGCACTAGCACTGGCCCTGGTATCAGCCAGTTCTTGAGTCTGGGCCCAGTTCTGCCACTTACCAGCTATATGACCTTGGGAGAGTCACCTAATCTCCGTGTCTCGGTTTTCTCATCTATAAATAACCATAATAAGGCCCAACTTCCAAGATTGTTGAAAGGATCAACACATGAGATATATAAAGCTTTTTTTTTTTAAAGATTTTATTTATTTGACATACAGAGAGAGAAATCACAAGCAGGCAGAGAGTCAGGCAGAGAGAGAGAGAGGAGGAAACAGGCTCCCTGCTGAGCAGAGAGCCCGATGTGGGGCTCGATCCCAGGACCCTGAGATCATGACCTGAGCCGAAGGCAGAAGCTTTAACCCACTGAGCCACCCAGGCGCCCCTGATATATAAAGCTTTTATGCTAGTGTCTGGCACATAGTAGGTGCTCAATAAAAGGTAAATATTAATATAAATTTTATGCATAATTAGGCCCTTGGGAGAGTATTATTGACAATTCATCCAGGAAGGATTAACTGAACATCTTCAGTAGAAATTCAAAGAGGACTAAAACAACACTGACTTACAATGGGTGATGGGGTAGGGATAGTGGTATAGAGACAGATAAGTGGATTGTACATGCAAACTGGAAGTGAGGAGGTGGGCTATGGGAATGTCAAGATATGTTTTGTTTGGAGGAAGGTATATTAGAGATCTCTGATATGCTTGATTTCATTGGCTAAAAATTGATACAAATTGGGGCACCTGGGTGGCTCGGTCAGTTAAGCCTCTGCCTTCGGCTCAGGTCACAATCCCAGAGTCCCAGGATGGAGTCCCACATCCCACGTAGGGCTCCCTGGTCATCAGGGAGTCTGCTTCTCACTCTGACCCTCTCCCCCTTCTCGTGCTCTCTCTTATTCTCTCTCTCTCTCAAATAAAATCTTTTTAAAAAATTATACAAATTAATACATGAGAATATCTGATCTATTGTATCAAGACCCATAGGAAGGTTATATCTTTTGGAGAGTTACAGGTGAGAGTCCAAGGGTAGAGATCATTCTGGGTGATGCTGAAGTTGGTACCTTTGGAGTGACCTTGTAGAACCGTCCCTGAGCAAATTCTGAGATCTCTCTAAGTTTGTTTCTTGCTTGTGTACCTAGATACTTGGGAAGTGCCATTTGAGGAGATCTCAGAGCTGCAGTGGCTGGGTAGTGGAGCCCAAGGAGCTGTCTTCTTGGGCAAGTTCCGAGCGGAGGAAGTGGCCATCAAGAAAGTGAGAGAACAGAATGAGACGGATATCAAGCATTTGAGGAAGTTGAAGCACCCTAACATCATCGCTTTCAAGTAGGTCAAGGCTTCTTCTTCTTCTTCTTTTTTTTTTTTTTTTAAGAAATAGATTTTCTTTCTCCCAATTTCTACTAATGAGTTCCTGTCTTGAAAGACTATAGACTTAGTACTGTGCTAGGTATTTGGGGAAGACACCAAAAAATGATTAAATGAAAGTCATGTCTTTAAGGATCGTATAATCTGATAGTTCTTTATGCCAGAACTTAGCCTTCCTGGAAAGGGTGTACATGGGACAGAAAGGGAATAATGCTTTTTTTTTTTTTTTTCCGGTGGAAAAATGGGTTCTTACCAAGAAATCATATCTAATGACTCAACCTCGTTTATCAGTGGGATGATGGAGATCACTCTGAGATAACCGCCCATCTGAAAGTTCAGTTAAGAAAACAAGGCTGATATCTGAAGTGATCATAGAACAATTAGTCTCTGTGTAACAGAGAGGTATTTTTTTTTGTATTAGTTTCTATTAGCCTCCCTTTTTAAATATGAACTTGTTCTAAGAGGGCACCCTGAAAATGTTTCTCCCTGCCTCAGTGATCCCTTTTCAAGTAATGCCAAATACTCAGCTTTCTAAGTCTAATGACAGTTAAATTACTGATGAGAGTAAGTTATATGCTATGTTCATGCCACAAGGTAGTTGTTTTCAAGAGTATATGAACATCTTTCTAGGTCAGACTATTTTCATAATACGGCGGGGATCACTAGCAAAAGGGGAGGCACAAAGGTGCATTTGTGGCAGTCCTCAAAGCTGGCAGTGTTGAGCCCTAAATATGTGTAATGTCTTCTGCCTCTACCTGTCCCTTGCCAGGCTTCCCATTCTCTTGCCAGCCTTCAAATTCTGCCCCAGCCTGAAACAAATGAATGATGAGTGGCTTTACAGGAGGGAAGGTGAAGAACAGGAAAGCTAGTCTTCAGGTGGAATGACAGTTAGAAACTAGAGCTTCTTGGTATGTTTGATATATGTAGTTCAGTCCCAGAAAATAGTATGACTGATGAGGCTACTGCTGAAAGTGGAATAATTTACAAGCCTCCCTTCCTGAAAGTAGGAGAAACTTCTCCCAGCCCCCAAGAGGGATCTTCTCATGATAAAACTCTCATTATAAAGGTAAACATGTCATGGGATCATTTTTCACTGGAATCACACTCCTCCTAAGGAATAGAAATCTTGGGTACAGATTTTGTACAATGGGTTTAAATGAGCTTGATGCTGAGTCTTGATTCCCAAACAAGACCCCTTTATGGAAAGGGAAAGAGATGTGGAAAAGGAGATAAGCATCCAGCTGGGATACTAAATGGAGTGCTTTGACGCATCTCCTTGTGGAAGGGACATGCATACAGTGGGCATGGGAGAGAGCTTTGGTTGCCCTAGTGATTTCATCCTTTGTTGCCCTGTTAGGGCCAGGAGGATGTGAGGCGAAAATGAAATGCTACAGAGACTAATTATACTCTTTCCAAAGATGATACATTTCCAAAGACAACAGAAGGATTATTTTTAAGCAGACAGACTCCCAAGAGACTCCTTTCCTTCCTCTTACTTCACCAAGAAAATCATCCCTTCTAGTATGCTACATCCTAGATGGAAGAAAGGGTCTCTCACTTAACTTCTGTTGAAAAACTTTCAGGCTTCAATCACTAGGACGCTGAGTTTGAGACACTTAATATGCTACAGATTGGCATGGCTTTCTGGCCTCCTGATGTGGGCTGGGCTATCTGTCCCAGGTACAAGGTCTTTCCAGCAGGTTGTCCCAGGTAATAAAGGGAGAGATGTGTTCTATGAGAAGCTTGGTTTTTCCTTCCTTTCTTTTGCTTTCTCTTTTTTCCTTGCAACGTTTTCTGTACCTCATTCTCCTGACCCTCCTACCTACACGTACAGATTCCGCATTTTGGACACGTATGGCCCTGCCGGTGCCCCACTTTTTAGGCAGAAGATGCTTGAATAGTCTTTACCTCTACGTGGAAAACAATAGTGAGACTATGTCCCTGGTTCATTACCGCATGCTCTTGAGGCATTGTGCAGTGCTGTGTTTGCAACCATCTGTGCCATGTGTTGCTTGGCCAATGAATCATTCAGGACCGTCTGGAAGATATGAAGGCATGATTAGATTTTAGTATGTCTCTCTGGATACTCATTGCTGTGCTTACAGCTTCCTTCGAAGTAAGAACCGTGTACAGAAGGGGAAGCCAAAGAAAAGAATTCTGTATTTTTTTTCCTTCTAATTTTTTTGAAAGCAATCTTTTAGGAAGACCTAATCTGACTGTTCCTAATGGAATTGGGTGCCAAGGGGAAGAAAAGGTAGCAATTAGAAGTCATTAGAGAGCTGCTATTTATAGCCACTGAGAAGCCTTGTCATACATAGTACAAGGCTGATGGCATGATTGTTTCTCATTCATCAGTCAAGAAAGATGAAAAGCACATAACATATCACCCTTACCCCTTTCTGTCTGCAACAAGTTAAAAGATGGTTGACTAGGATGCTGGGTAGCTTCAAGCCAATATTTATTTTAATATTCTTAAGCACATTATATTATCCCCGCCTATTCCTTGTTTTCCTGTAATGAAAATTAAATTGTCTGATTACGGTTGTGGTCTATCTGGGCTCCGCCAAGTTCTCCTAAGAGTCAAGTAACAGAAACTTGAAAAAATTTTTTTCATTAGAAATGAAGATGAGAATTCTGGGTAGCTTGAAAAATGATAGGAAAGTATTAGGAATAACTCTGTGGCATTTGACAAGTGTGTCACGGCAGGGAGAATGAAGACTAATTTTACTTCTTCATATCCTGCTGTCGTTCTGGGACTCTCCCCTGGTCGCAAGCTATGGCCTCTTCATTGTCTCATCCCTTACAGCTGCCTAGGAGAGAAGACATGAGTTTGTAGCTGGCTGAGGACTTTAGATGGGCATCTTGTAGACAAAATAATCTCGGCTCCTCTAGAAAGTTTTGAAAGAAGGCGTACATACTATTAAGAGATGGGATACCGAGAATTGCATTGTGATAATCGTCCTCTTTTCTCATCTTCAGAACAAAAGTGTGGAGTTAATTGTTGTCACTTTTCTAGGGTAATGTTGATACAGGAATCCCCAACCTGCTTGTGTATACAGGAGTTACAAAACACAAAGGGAGGGCAATGTAGCATAGTGAGTGGAAAGAGCATAGACTTTGAAGTTAGACTGGATTTGAATCCAAGCTCTGTCACAGGTGTATCATCGAGGACAGGTCACTTTCCCTCTCTGAGCCTCACCCGTAAAAATGGAAGGTGTATTGTGCAATGGTTGGGGAAGATTAAATCAGACAATTAAATAAGCATGGAACATTCCAGACAGAAGAAGTTCTTCCATGTTAGTTCCCTTCTTCCCACCCCGTGCACCTGCGCACATTTGTGCAAAGGGTTTAGCAGCAAAGAAAGTTAAGGTGAAGCTAAGAAATATTTATCAAGGATTTGCTGTGAACTTCTCAGCCTCCTGGTAGAAAGAAAAGAACCTGAAGACCTTTCCCTTCAAGGAGCCTACCTATGATCTGTGTAGGGAGAGGAAAATTGTGTATAAAAAACGAATGGCTCCTGTGTAGCACAGGAATTTAGAGACAAGAAAGATCTTCATGGACTGGAATCATCAGGAAAGACTTTGTGGAAGATGCAGGAATTGATGGAAATAAAGGCTGTGTAGAAATGTGTTACACTGTGTGATATTGTTTTTATTCTAAACAGTATTGTTTTTCAAATATATAATATATATATTATATATTTGATATATATATATAAAATACAGAAAATTGACTCCTTTTTAGTACTCAGTCTAGTTATCTTAAATTTGATAATTTAAAATTCAACAATTAATATAAAAATAGAAGTATTTTATGTGGATTCTCTCTTTCCCTACCCTATATATAGAACCTTTTATTTAATTTTAAAAGGAAGATATTTCAGTTATTTTTAACGATCTAACACAACACAGTACCCAGCCTATACAAGTCTCAGGAAACATGCTCTTTGTCCCAAAATGGAATGGCCCCACAGAGAAGCACTGGTACAGCACAACACAGAGATAATCTGAAGTGAGCAAAATGAACTAAAATTGTCTGTATGAATAATAGAGAAGCTTGTAGACTAGAGGGGTTTTAATGGTAATTGAAGAATCAGGAAAGGTTATGCCTTATTATGCCAATATTATTTTGGTAGAGAACTGGTCTTAATCATTAAATTTATTAAATATTCTTAAAATCGTTAAATTCATTAAATATTCTTAAAATATAAATATGTAAAATAGATATAAATACGTATAGAGGTACTTTTGTATGTATGTGTGAATTTATAAACATATTTGTGTTTTCTTGAAAGGGGTGTTTGTACTCAGGCCCCCTGTTACTGCATCATCATGGAGTACTGTGCCCACGGACAGCTCTACGAAGTTTTGCGAGCCGGCAGAAAGATCACACCACGATTGCTAGTGGACTGGTCCACGGGAATTGCAAGTGGAATGAATTATCTGCACCTCCATAAAATTATTCATCGTGATCTCAAATCACCTAAGTGAGTTTGGGAGTTCATTTTTCAGACACTTTGTTTTATTGCTTTGAAATAAGGGAATTTTATCAAGCCCGGTTGAGTTTTTCAGACATACTTGCAGTTGAGTTTAAATCGGCACAGTGGGTAATTCTGTTTGCATGTTTTTTGGATTCTCGTTGACCAACTTACTCACCCATACAGCAGACAGCTCCAAGCACCTGACACGAGTTTTCCCTTTGTGCTGCTTTTTAGTTGTGCAGCTGTAAAACGAGATTCACTATTAACTGAAGTGTTCACTCTTGATCATCCCAGATAACTAATGCCACACTTTTCCACCTTGAAGACTTGATTTGTGTTAAAAACTGAGTTTCAGAAAATAGGCTAGGGGCGCCTGGGTGGCTCAGTGGGTTAAAGCCTCTGCCTTCAGCTCAGGTCATGATTCCAGGGTCCTGGGATCGAGCCCTACATCGGGCTCTCTGCTCAGCAGGGAGCCTGCTTCCTTCCTTTCTCTCTGCCTCTCTGCCTACTGTGATCTCTGTCTGTCAAATAAATAAATAAATAAAATCTTTAAAAAAAAAAGAGAATAGGCTAAAAATGCATGAGTAAGAACTGAGGCAAAGAGAAAATAAGAACGTTAGAACTAAAGCTTGCTCATGAAAGACTCTACAGTTGTTAGAGGTGGACTGTAGATTTTGGCTTTGACCTTCAAAGAGTCTGAGCAAAGAAGGAAATAAATAGTCCCAAGGCTCACGGTGTCCATAAGATAATATAAGCTGGCTATTTAAGAGAAGCAGGGTTGTTTCTAGTGATCTGTTATCAAAATGATTCTTCGGCTGTCGATAACCACTTTTAAGAGGAGTGCTCATTCACTTCCCCAGACCACATCAAGGGAAGAAAGGAATTGATAAAATGGTGTATTTCAATGTAGCTCCTGTTTTTAAGCATTTTTAATTATCATTTTATTTTTATTTTTAAATTTAATTTTGTTATTTATTATTATCATTTTTATGTATTATTTTATTGTTATTTATTTATTATTTATTATTTCTCACCACAGTTTGGTTTAGAGAAGCAGAGAGGAATTAATCTTTTTTCAAAAACAGGTCTCTATAGTGCTTTCATGGTTTATCGTATTTTTAAAAATATCCATTATCACATCTTCTTTGATGTTGGCAAAAATTGCATGGAGATAGTTGCAACATGTATCATCCTTCTTATTTTATATAAGAGACACGAGGGACACCTGGGTGGCTCAGTTGGTTAATAAGCATCTGACTCTTGATTTCGGCTCAGGTTATGATCTCGGGGTAAGCTGGGCATGGAGCCTGCTTGTGATTCTCTCTTTCTCTGCTCCACTCTCCCCTTGTCCCTTTCTAAAAAAGAAGAAAAAGAAAAAGAAAAATGAGGGCTTAGAGCCCAAAGTCGTGGCGCTAGGACCTGAGCCCAGAACTTTGAGACCTGAAGTCCCCCACTGCTTCCTACTGGAAGGATTCGCACAGGTTTCTGCCTCCTGTCCACGGAAGATAAAAATCGGTCTTGACTATAAACTTTCAAGCAGCTCTTGTTTCTCACCCTTGTTCTCTGCCATGCTTACCATAGTCGTTAGCTCCCTGAACAGCCCCGTCCTTGCTTTACTTGCAAATAAACTTTATTATAGTCTTCATTCCATCTGCTCACATTCTGACACAACCTGTTGCTTTCATCATCCACTACGTACACACAAAAGACATGAAACACTTGCCACAGACCTCTTTGAATGGTCTCCTTCCTAACCACCTTGTTCCCCTTAAGAATTAACTGTAAAGGAAGAAGTCAGGAAGTTTTAGAATGTATAAAATCACATGCTACTTTCTCTAGCTCCTGTCATTTAAAGATTAGGGTAATAAGTTACACAGGGAGACTTTCCCTCTGTTATCAGCACTCCCTTGAACTTCCGGCAGCCTTGGCCTCTTTGGGTTCCAAGCTGACTTTGAGAAGACAAAGATTAGTCTGGCTTGCTTTAAAGACAAATGTCATTACCCACATTAAATATTGGGCTGGGTGACCCCAGCTTTGTCTCAGAGAAGACTTTATACAAGTTCTAACCTCATGTGCCCTGTAGTCTCTCCCCATGCCCATTCCCTCAAAGTATGTACATTCTACATATCAGGGGCAAAACCGGGGGTCGGACATGGAGGAAGGTATTTTAGAACAGTTGTAAGCAGAGCCGTTGGGTAACTAGAGAGCCATGTGACACTGGCAGGGAGAGGGGCAACTGTGAAGTCCCTGGTTCAGAGAAGGGAGGAGAGAGATTGAGAAGTTTTCTGTTTTCTAGCCACCTCAATTCTGATACCCTGAATATCAAGCCCCCTTCTTATGAAGAATAGGTCTCTATCATTAAGCCTCTGAAACCCTAACTCATTAACATTCTAAAGTTCCAAACAGGTTATATCAAGTGAATTCAGCCCAGTTTGTTAATAATTGTGGATTCGACTGGTATCAGATTGTATTCATCTTTAAGGCTAGAAAAGCAATTTTCCCCAGGCCACAATTCAGATATATACCATGAAAAGACAAACATGACTTGTGTGAAATCTATGTAAGCCTAAATTTATTCCAGTTTTTCCTTATCAACATTGGTGGAATCCCAGTATACTTATTAGCCTTTTAATGTAAAAATCCCTAGTGTCGTGGTCCCATGTGTGATTTTAGTTGGCCACCATTTAAACAGTGTTTTAAAAGAAGGGTTTTTCTTAGTGGTTTGTCTGAGACTGACAAGGGTAGAAACCAGTATTTTTTGAGCATGGGTGTTTTATGTCTCTTATCTCCTTTAATTCAAATGAAAATTCCACAAGGCCATTTTTATAGGCCCATGATTCCTTATCGAAAACTTTTGGAGGATTTCAGAAAGGTAACATAGTACATTGTCTCACTAACCAAGCAGAGTCTAGGACAATACTCTATAACGAGCCTCAGATGAATAAAATGAGTTTGCTTGATAATAGATGAGAAGATATTTATTTATACACGGTGTGCAGTTTTCTGCACTCTTGAATCGTGGGTAAGTTACTGGGACCTGAGTTTTCTCCATCTTACGACGAGAAAACTGGCTTAGGAGAATCAAGTGAACTTGGCAGTGGTCACAGAGTTAGCAAGTGGTGGAGGCAGAATGAGACCAGACGGAGAAGGCCTGCTGTGCCGTGCGACCTCATGTGTGTGAATGATGCTCTGTCTAGCCTAGACCTACCGCCCCCGTGATACTGGAACCCGCAGGCTGAATTCTACAAGGTAGGAGGCAGCACACGAAGTTGTCAGTTACAGTCATGATTTGTATTAGTACTAATGATTTGGATGTTCTCTTTATTTCTTTTTAAAGTGTTTTGGTGACTCACACAGATGCGGTAAAGATTTCAGATTTTGGCACATCTAAGGAACTCAGTGACAAAAGCACCAAGATGTCCTTTGCCGGTACAGTGGCGTGGATGGCACCAGAGGTCATACGCAATGAACCTGTCTCTGAGAAAGTTGATATATGGTGAGCAGTGCCATCTGTCCCGACGAGAAAGCCTTCCCCACTGCACCCTCCCCCTTCCCCGAGTCCTCTCCTCCTCCAGCACTTCTGCTTTCCCAAAATATTCTTTAGTGTTACTCACTGATGGTTGATTTCAGGCTCCTGTTGTCTGAGTCCCTACTCAGTGTCATGATGAACGTGGTGAGAAGGATTGAGAGGGGAATTAGGGTGAATGTCTATTTAGTAAATCATTGGGAAGGCTTCACAGAATATGCTGAACTTTCTGGAAAATGGGAAGTTTACTTCAAATAAGCATTTAGCATAGAAATCTTTGGGAAATATATTCATAATTCTTACCTTCTTAAATACAGTGAACAAAGTTTACCTAGTTTTGGTGCCTCAGACCCTCAACATATCAGTGAGTACTTTGCTGGGATATGGTTATGTACTTTAGAGCTATTTGAAGTATATCATAGGGCTGTTTGCCCTTTTAGTAAACATCCCCAATGAGCTATGCTTATTTACTTTTTGGCCTTTTTAAAATCCTTATCATTTTTTCCTTTGAGATTATGAATCTTTACAATTATTAACATATTTCCCTGTGGTCACTTTTCTTCCATCCTTATAACTGGCTATTAATATAACTTTTAGGCTTAAGACCAAAATAATAGCATATGTTAAAATTACATGTAACACCAGAGTAAGATAAAGGAGAAATGTGGGATCGTTTGTAATTTGGGTAATTATCACCAACATGTCCTCCTTTGGGATTATACCAATTATGTTCCCAACAGAAATGTGTTTTCTCAGTCTCACCACAAAAAGTTCTCACTTTCTGGATTTTTGCCAACCATCTAGGTAATACATGGTGTCATAGGTACAGTTTTAATGTATATTCCCCTTCTAATAATTATAAGTTAGGTTGTACTTTTTTTCATATTATCATAAACCATTTGTAATTTCTTATTGTGAAATATTCTGATCCTTTACTAAGCTCTCTGATCTTGATCCCTATCAATTTATCAGAGTATTTTGTATATTAAGGAGATTAGCCTTTTGTGTGTATGAATTATGGGTACTTTTCACATTTTGTTATTTTGTTTGTGGTGGAATTCCTCCTCTCTGCTGGATTTTTCTTTTTTTTAATGCAATTTAACTGATCAATCTCTCCATTTGTGGCGTCTGGATTTCATAACTAGAAAGCTTTCACCACTCTAAGATTAGTAAAAAGAAAAAAAATTTCCCATGTGTTCTTTCAGCAGCTTATGGTCTCATTTTTTCTTTTCACATTTGAATTTTTGATTCATTTGGAATGTATCTTGGTGTGAGATGAGCCATGGATTTAATTTTCCCCCCAGTTGCCTCAACAGCATGTACTGACTCGTCAGTGCTCCCACGCTGGTTTGGGATGCCACTTCCATCATATACTGAAGTCCTGTATGTATCTGGCCCATTTATGGATTTCTGTTCCCTTCCATTTGTCTGGCTGTCCACTCACACACCAAAGTTAATTACCAAAGCCTTAGGGTATGTCTTAATATCAAGCAGTGTTGGTTACCCCTCATTGAGTTTCTTTTCCAGAGTTTTCCTGGCTGTTTCTGTTGTTCTCATGGAAGTCTTAGAATTTTGGAACTGGGGATATACTTGATTAAACATGAATAAAGAACTAACATACAAACCGGTCTTTCTGCATTGTCTTTGGTGCCTGTTCCTGGTACTACTATAGGTCTTTTGGAGTGGTGCTTTGGGAGCTGCTGACAGGAGAGATTCCTTACAAAGATGTCGACTCTTCAGCCATTATTTGGGGTGTTGGAAGCAATAGCCTGCACCTGCCAGTTCCTTCCACTTGCCCTGATGGATTCAAAATCCTTATGAAACAGACATGGTAAGAAATCTCTTTCTCCCAAGATTCTCTTTGACCTTCTTCCTCCAAACCACATTTAAAGTTTCTCGGAAGCCTCAGGGAAGTCTCCAGTATGGATTTAGACTGAATCACCTGGTTAAAGCCTGGCAGACTTGGAATCTTTGATAAATAAAGGACGTGGTATATCCTGAAACAAGTAGGCCTTAGTCAATGATGGCCACGATGACTTGACGAGTCCTCAGGGACTCTTCTTACCAAACAGGCCACTGATCCTGGAGGTTTCCATTTATCATTACAGGTACCTCCTGGTTACATTTTCCTTTGCTCTTCAGTACGTGCACACGGCCTGAGATAAAGCCATGCGTGGAGCCAAACATGTTTTCCATAAAGTAGAATAAAATCTCTGTGCTCCCGGACACACCCTCTGCAATGCACAACCTGTCTTTTTTAACTTGTAGGCAGAGTAAACCTCGCAACCGGCCTTCTTTCCGGCAGACGCTCATGCATTTAGACATTGCCTCTGCAGACGTTCTTGCCACCCCCCAGGAAACCTACTTCAAGTCTCAGGTAAGTCTGAAAGCTCTCCTCCTGTGTACTGAGTGCATAGCCAGAGAGCACTTGATGAGAAAGAGGGGCTTAGAAGCATTCTGAGTCTCTTAACGATTCTAGGGCTCCACTCCAATCGTTGTGAAGCAATAGCTGTAATATGTCACACGTGGGGAATCTGGGAGTTTTTTGAACACTTGAGATACATCATTATCTCTGGGCACCTTGGTGGCTCAGTGGGTTAAAGCCTCTGCTTTCAGCTCAGGTCATGATCCCAGGGTCCTGGGATCCAGCCCCTACATCGGGCTCTCTGCTCAGCAGGGAGCCTGCTTCCTCCTCTCTCTCTGCTTGCCTCTCTGCCTACTTGTGATCTCTGTGAAATAAATAAAATCTATTAAAAAAAAAAAGATACATCATTATCTCATTTGAAAGGAACATGTGTCTGAATGTGATCCTCCAAGTGGTGAAATTGTTGAAAAGAAAAAAATGAATGTATTTGAACTAAAATCAGGCACCTGGCTGGCTCGGTTGGAAGAGCGTGCAACTCTTGATCTTGGGATTGTGAGTTCGAGACCCATGTTCGGTGTAGAGATTACTTAAATTAAACAAACAAACAAACAAACAAACTTTAAAAAAAAAAAAAGGGAATTACATCCAACCTTCATGAAAGGATTGCTTCCCTTGAAGGAGAAAATCTAAAGTACAGAGGAGGGAAGTTAAGTACCAGAGAGAACCCAGGATAGAATTAGGCCCAGAGGGAACCTTTCCCCTGGCTCTGTGTGTCACCTGTTAGCACCAGATCAAATGTAACTTAATGTATCTGTTAGCCTTATTGTTTTACCATTCCAGACCTATGCCAAACACCCAGATTAAACTCCCTTAGAACCACTAACACTAGTGCTGTCCATTCAGATACCTATATGTATGGGGCACGAGGAAAGCAATCTGCCCAGTCTCTGTGTGAGTGTTCAGAAAAAGACTTGGGCCCTTCCATGAAATGAAAGAGAATAACAGTGAGTACTTTCTAGGGAATCTCTCAAACTTTAGACTACGGTTACAATTACAGCTTTGCTTCCTTTACCATAAAAGTATACATACCACGGTTTGGAAAAGCAGTTTTTGGTGAGAGTACTAGAGTCACAAGCCATCGAGACAGTCAAACTGTATGTACTTGGAAAACTTCAAAATGGAAGCAATTCTACGTGAATGCTCCCAGGATGTCCCTTCTGAAGCCAGGACCACCTCTTCCGAGTGCCCACCGTGTGCAAAGCACTGTGTTGTGCAACGAAGCACCCAGACCCAGTACCCTCACCTGCACATACTGACTTTTACCAATATGTGCAGCAGTGAGACTGAACTCAGGAAAGCTTCTTTTGGAGCAAGAATATGAAGGGGAGAGGAAGAGGAAGGAATGGAAAGGGAAAACATTACGCTGGACATCTTTTAAATATTAATTCTTCCACACGTTTCTCCCAACATAAAATTTTACCTCTCCTTAAATAGCGCCAAGTCTGCTAGGTGTGCTAGTTCCTAGGATTATTTCAGGTACTTACAAGCTGGTCTGTCTCTGGGTCTGAAATTCAGACTCTCTCTGGCTACTAAAAAAATATTTAGGAACTAGCTATGGAAATACTGAGAAAAGCAATAGACTTGAGTCTAACCCTTGTCCTAGGATCTTGGGTCAGTCACTAAAATTCTCTAAACCTCAGTGTACTCATCTAAACCCTGGAGATGATCATCTCTTCTCATCCTTATGGGGTTTTGGCTAGGACCCAATGAGAAAATAAAAATGCAACTGTATTGGAAACGAAAGAACTACTCGAGTGTAAGACGTCATTCGCTGCCTGCGAAGCTGCAGAAATGAAGCCTTCTTTGGGTTGGTACATTCTGGTGAACTCCTCTGAGACTGACAGGTGGCTACCCAGGGACTCTGTTCCCGTTCCCGGGGTTCTGACTCTCGATGCCACTGGGATGGGGATGGAGCTGACAGTTTAGCACCTGGTTTTATTCCTTTTGCAGTCTCACGCCTGAGGCCTCCCCTCCCTCAAGCCCGTGAACAGAGCCCAGGCTGCATCAGTTACCCATCAGTGGTTGGTCGCCTTGGGTCGCTGCCCTTTCCACAAAACTGTCCATCGGGAGCATGCCAGGAGCCCAGCTGACTGCTTCCCGAGAGTATTTGCTTCCCGTTTCTCAGCAGCGGCTTCAGTAGCACAGATGAACATAGCAGCCGATTTCACTACAGCATTTGATTCTGCCGAAGCTGCTGCTTCTTTCCCAAACAGTAACTTATTTCTCCCAGGAGGCAACTACTGGTCTTGGTATTCAGTTGCATTTGCTATCAGTTTTTGTTTTGTTTTGTTTTGTGAGCCCCGGTGTGGGGCTTGAACTCACAACCCTGAGATCGACAGTCGCATGCTCTGGTGACTGAGCCAGCCCCAACACTGGATATCAGTTGTTAGAAAACATTTTGCTGGGGTCCCAGATCCCCACAGCTGGGTGGGCCATGGCCTCTGCCTCTAAGCTCTCCACCCCACACTCTGCCTTTGCACCATTCTGGTTCCCTTTTGAGTACCACCGCAAGCACCCAGAAATTCAGAAGCTGCGAATTGCAGACACACGAAGTTCATTATAGGGACAGACTGTGCTTCTTAAGAGTAATCTCGTCATGGCACCCCCGACTGGCTCCCACGGAAGGGCATACAGCTCTTGATCTCGGGGTCATGAGTTAGAGCCCCATGTGGAGAGATTACTTCAGTAAATATTTAAAACTTAAGAAAGAAAGAAAAAAAAGAACAATTTCATCACGAGCAAGTAGGTCCTTAGGCAGAGGCTGGCACACACCGGGGAAGGGAGTCAAGAGGACTGTTGTGCCAGTCAAGGTTGGACTCGAGGACCTCTTAAGTCTTTTCTGACTCAGAATCTCTAATTTCCTGCTCCTTAGCCCCCCAACATCCTGCTTCTCTATCCAGCTAGCCTGGAACTGGCTGCACTTCTTTTTTTTTCCTTTTTAAAAATTGTGGTAAATACAAGTAGTGCAAAATTTGCCATTTTAACCATTTTGAAGTGTACAGTTCACTGGCATTAATTGAATTCACAACATTTCACCACTGTTTCCAAAAGCGTTCATCACCCTCTTAAGCAGTTATTTCCCATTTCCTCCTCCCCTTGACCCCTGGTAATCTCTGTCCTGCTTTTTGTCTCTATGAATGTACCTGTTCAGTCTACTGATTGAATAAGTGGAAGGCTGGAAAAGACGAAAACCTTTTCAGATGGGGATGGCCTTTCCCAGGCCTTACCTAGGACATAAAAAGACTCCCATTAATGGTAATAACCCAAGTTTCACTGGATTTTTCCCTTACCTGCTTATCTTGTGAAGCAGCCTGTACTCCCTCCTTTCACCCCCTCACATGCATTTGGGGGGTCCCCAGTGAAGAGTGGGGATCTCAGTAACCTCCTAGTAACTTCCGCTCTGCTTTCCACTGACTGGCTAGACACAGCAGTCTCCTACTAATGTCTTCTAGGTATTACTTTGTGGGTTAGCTCTGTTTTCCGCTACAACACCATAAGCCCAGCTGGTGTCCACTGGATGCTGCCATATCCCAAGGCACTGCCCTCACCCATCAGGAGCTGCCATTTCCTCCTGTAACTACAGCTCTGGACTTCTCGATTCCAAAGCTGCACATTGTTCTATCTACCCAATGAACTCCTTTCTCTGTTGAGTTACACTTTGTTAAAGGTAACAGAGCCCTGCTGGTTATAGCCCAGTGTTTTATAGATATTTTAATGAAACACTGGGAAGTGCTCCTCCATTCCTATGATGGTGGCTTTGTCATAGGTCAGGGTCATGAAAGATTCCTCCTTCTCTCATGCTGCATTTTCTCTCAGAGGCGCCTCAGTCTTTGTGCAAATTAGCTTCCAGCCTACCCACCTCCCATTTCTCCAGCTGTGCCCAGACATGTCTGAACTGAAGATTAAGTGCAAATTGGAACTCCTATTATGTAAAGATTCTAAGCATATGGGATGGAACTCCAAACTTAGCATCTACCAGTAACACCATAGCTTTGGGGAAAAAGATACTATAATCAGGACCTGGGGTTTTCCCACACATCCTGTTCCCTCTTCATGATTGGGGACAGGAGGGGAGGACTTCTTTTTGGAAATCTACTTTTTTAATAGGTTTCAGTCTTTGAAAGTTTCTCTTTAAATTTCCATTCCCATCAGGAGGTTTATTTCCTCAAGGTTTTCAAGAATTAAAAAAAAAAAAAAAAAAGAAAAAAAAATCTGTTCATCTGATTCCTGGCCACCAGAGGGAGATACTCCTTTTCCTGGTCTCTTCTTTAGGTACCTGTACAGGTGTCTTCTGATCCGTTTTTGCATGAAAGAGGACTTCAAGGCCCAAACCTGGCCCTCTCTCTTACCGTTTTTGGTCTAATAACTCCTGATTGTCAATCTTAGGCTTCTCAAAGCTCACGTATTCTTCCTTCAGACTTTGATCTGATGATGACAAGAACGGCATTACTGGAGGCTCAGCCAAACTTTGATTTATTGCTTAAGACTGTCAGACTGTTACCAAACAGTGGGCACTGCATTCTGGATCTGAGTTTCTGATGACCTTCACTTTCTGATGACCTTTACTTTCTGATGACCTTCACTTGCTGATGGCGTTGTTTGGCAGGTTTGGTCCCAAAAGTCAACTGACTGACAGAAATCTTTCTCCAGTGGTCAGTCAGGATATATCTATATATCCTGACTATATATATATATATATATATACATACATACACACACACACACACACACACACACATATATATGAAGATCTAGCATATTATAAGCAGATAATCAGGATGATCACTCTCTAAATAATTACAATATGATTTCCTTTATTTTTTTTAAATTTTATTTATTTATTTTGACAGAGAGAGATGACAGGTAGGCAGAGAGGCAGGCAGAGAGAGAAGAGGAAGCGGGCTCCCCGCTAAGCAGAGAGCCTGATGTGGGGGGCCCGATTCCAGGACCCTGAGACCATGACCTGAGCCGAAGGCAGAGGCTTTTAACCCACTGAGCCACCCAGGTGCCCCCTGATTTCCTTTATAAAAGGAAATGAGAGGGGCGCCTGGGTGGCTCAGTTGGTTAGGCATCTGCTTTTGGCTCAGGTCATGGTCCCAGAGTCCTGGGATCGAGTGTCGGGCTCCCTGCTCAGTGGGAAGTCTGCTTCTCCCTCTGCCTTTGCCTGCCACTCCCCCTGCTTGTGCGTGCATGCACTCACTCTCTCTCCCTGTCAAATAAATAAATAAAGTCTTTAAAAAAAAAAGTAAATGAGAAACAGCAAATTTGGGGAGAAACCTTCTATAATTTCAAAATTAGTCACACATAACTTTTTCCATGATCTAGAGAAATAATTTTAAACATGAATCTTGAGGTAATAGAATAGCTCCAGAGGAAGAATATATAGAGGCATTTAGTTATACATCTAGACTTCACTGGAAATCAATTTCATTAGTTTCTTGGAATTGTAGTTTATGTAATTTGAGGAAACATCTTTCTTAGCTGTTTTCTAGAAACTACCTGTAGACTATATTCCAGCAGACGTTTTTCTACTGCCTAAAATTTAGATGACATTGGCCTGGAATTCCGTGCCTTATGGAAATCCCAGTGTCCTAATACATCTGTGAATTCCTGGGAGACTATAATTTCATGGTCACTCTCGCTTTGCCCTCCTAAAATTTTGGGTTCCACCCCCTCCATCTTCTGGTTGTTCCTTTAGCTTGTCATTGACCCAGACATGAAGTTCAGCACTGTCCTTGATGTCAAAAAAAAAAAAAAACCCACTCATCCAAAATCAAGGTCAATGTCAGAGACTTTACTAAAGGTTTCAGAAATTGGAAGAGGCTTACATTTTGAATAACTGAAGTCACATATTAGATATTCATCCCCATTCTAAAATTTTGTCAAACATTATTTAGCCATCCTTTTTCTTCTCCTCTTCTCTTTTCCTGTTCTTTCCCTCACTCCCCAATTCCTATAGAATTCCCTATATTTTTATTTCCAAGTCCTGCTGTGCCCCTTTGGTCATGTGCTCCAGATATTTTTTTCAAATTAGTTTCCTTTTTTTTTTTTTTTTTAAGATTTTATTTATTCATGAGACACACAGAGAGAGAGGCAGGCAGAGGGAGAAGCGGGGAGCCCAGTTAGGGCTCAGTCCCGGGACCCTGGGCTCATGACCTGAGCCAAAGGCATATGCTTAATGGAATGAGCCACTCAGGTGCCCCAAGATATTTTCATTACAAAGTTACCTAAGAGAAATTCTGGTGCCAGTTGTAAACACGATCATGTTCTCACTGGCACGTACTTACAGCAGATGGCTAACTGAGCTCCTCCTTTTGGTCGGGCCATCTCAGCCACCCTCTTCACTTGAAACTGAGCTCTCGTGTTCCAGAGGTGATGGCCAGTATGCCAGCTGTGATATTTCTGGTGGCCAGTATGGCAAGGAAATGGGAAAAAGACGGCATCCCGTGTTGGACTAAATACAGAAAATGAGGTCATGGTGTGGGGGTGGGGGGTGCCGAAGCATGAGCTAGTCTGCTATCATCTCATATTTACTGAACATTTGTTCTGTGAGGCTCTTAAGTAAAAGCGAGCGGGGGAATACCATCCTGCCCGTGATTCTCTGGCTCTACCAGGGACGGAAACTCCTAGAGTCCTAACAAAGTCTCATTTGTCCCAACTCAGGCTGAATGGAGAGAAGAGGTGAAAAAACACTTTGAGAAGATCAAAAGTGAGGGAACTTGTATACACCGATTAGATGAAGAGCTGATTCGGCGGCGTAGAGAGGAGCTCAGGTGGGCTGCTCCCTCCTTCTCCACCTCGTCCCATCTGCAGATCCTGGCAGGAACTCGCTTTGTGAATCACCGTTTCACCTTCTACACACCTTTCACCTCTGCTACTTACTGTTAATTCTCTTTAAAAGTTGCCCCCAGGGTTGGCCCCCCCTTTACCCCGCTGTCCCGTCCCCTCCCTGCAGCCTTGTTATCCTTCTTTATTATAGCTCTGCAGCCGGTGCTCCTGGAGCCAGGATCTTTCTTCATTCAGTGCCTGTCCTGGGTGACATGGAGGGCAACGTTTTATAAGAGGAAGTTCCTGGTCTCAAGATGCTTATGACTGATAAAGGGGTACAAAATGTAGCCATAGATAACCACCCGTATTAGGGCAGGATCTGTGCCCTAATAAGTACGGGGTCAGGGGTCAGCCTTATTGGCATATTTCCATGAACATGACTATATTATACTGTATTCTTATTAAGGTATTGTCAGTGGCACACAAAGGCTACACATTATACACGAATCATGGTCCGATTTTTATCTGTGCCCCCTGCCCCAGCTATTCAGCATGGCTGGATATGGCCCCTAAGGATAAACCAAGCGAAAGCTTGAATTTTCCATCTCCCACTCCATCTTGTCCAAGTCGTTACCTCAGACACGGGACCCTTGAATTCAGACGGCCCTCAGACAAACGCTTTTGAGATAAACCATCCTGGTTCTTATTTCATTAGAGCTGTTCTTTGTCATCCCCCCACCGCCCCCTGGTAGTCAGCTTTGCTGATCCTCTCTTTTCTTTGATAGGCATGCTCTGGATATTCGGGAACACTATGAGAGAAAACTCGAGAGGGCTAATAATTTATACATGGAACTGAGTGCCATCATGCTGCAGCTAGAAATGCGGGAGAAGGAGCTCATTAAGTATGTATCCAGACTTCTGTCTGTCCTTCCCGAGTCGGGTCTATCAGTCAGCCCAAACGCACCGTTCTGCCATATTGCTGCTCCTCAAAACTAAAATGGCAGATGCTTGAGTCATTCACCCAGCATTCCTTAAGGGATGTGCTACACCCAGGTCCCTTCCCCCCCGTGAAGTTTCAGTTGAGGGGAGTTGCTGCAGAGCTTGTTACAGAGGAATGTGCCCTTGACCGGCATTTGCAACTTCACCCCACTGAATGGCTCCGAGAAGGGGTCCTCATCTCAAGAAAAACTTGGTGTGGATGAGGGGGAGCCTTCTGCCCGCTGGGGAAATAAGGTGGCTGATGAAAGTGGTTTAAGGGATTCTTGACAATGACAGGAGACCCCGGTCAGTGGTCCTGACCAAAACCATAACTGAAAATAAGTAGGTCTTCTACCATTGCCTTGTGTCTCTCGTGAGGTATGTTGGGGAAGGAAAGGTCAGCCCCTGAGCACACCAGAGAGTGGAAGAGCACAGCAAAGTCCAGATTAGTTGAATTGAGCATCTTTTTTTTTTTCCTTTTTAACTTGAATAATAGTGTTGTTATTCAGATAGTGTACTTCTGCTAAGGGTGCCCAGAATCTGTGAGAGGAATTAGCCTGTGGAAACATCCTGCCCATCTTTCCTGTCTGCAGTGACTGAGCTGTGGCTTTTCCTTTCGTCTGCAGGCGTGAGCAAGCAGTGGAAAAGAAGTATCCTGGAACGTACAAACGACACCCCGTCCGTCCAATAATCCACCCCAACGCCATGGAGAAGCTCATGAAGAGGAAGGGCACGCCTCATAAATCAGGGATGCAGACCAAACGGTGAGACACCTGTGCCAACCTGACATTCAGAGAAAGGGGAAAATATTCCCCCCAAAATTCATGATCCCATGACGGTGTGTCTGCTCTGTAGCTCACCGTGGGCACACTTGCCTCCAGAAAAAACAGAGTAGGAAAGTGAGAGGATGTGTCATGAACTCTAGGAATCTAGTTTTTACTCTCTGAGACATAGATACTTCTTGTCTTAGCATGGCATAGGGAAAGAGAAGTAAATGGAGGGCCAGGCCGACGTGGATTCCAATCCCAGCTCTACCCATTGGTATAAGCCATATGATGTGGACCATGTCATTTGTCTTCTTTCAGCTATGGGCAAAATGGTATAATGATGACATGTGAGATTTCTTTTTCTTTTTCTTTTTTTGACCCCTCCTGCACAGAATTGGGTTAATCATAATTCTTGTTGTAGGTAACATTGGTTCATGTGTGTCCCACTTTTACATATTCATTTAGCTAGTTCTTTTTAATAATGTAATAAGTGCCTGTAAATCCATTACCAGAAACAAAAGCAGGGGCTTTGATAATGACCTGTACCTCACCATGTAGGGCCCCTCATTCTATTCCTGCATGGGCTTTGGTGAAGTTTAAATAAGAGAAATGTGAAATCACCTTACAAATCACAGGTGCTAAAAAATGAGTTTTTGAATAGTTAAAAAAATAAAAGATTGACCTTTCCTCTAATTACAATGCATTTTCCTTATACTAGTTTAGTCTTAGAATGCTCTCCCAGTCAGTTTTTATTATCAGGCTCTACTAGATGCCCATTGCTCCCAAATAATGGAGAGTGGACTCTATTCTAGCCAAGTTAATGCAAAGGAAAGAAATGTCCTTAAACCTGGGGTGTAGACCAAATGGTCTACTGCAGAATGCGGTGAGAATAAAGATAATGACAAAACGCAAACCAAGAATGTATTTTAAGTCTTTCAGAATGGCAGTCATTCTGAATAAGGCCATTCTACCCTAGCATGACTAATACAACGCTAAAACTACTGAAGAGTAGTTACATGGATTAATTCCAGTTTTGCTTTTACTTACCACCCGTGATCACCTTCTCATCAAGTTCTGAGAAATTGCAGGTGGTACCTGGCAAAACCCTCTGAGGATCCCAACACCTCTTTCTTTTAATGTCTTAATTAGAGACAGAGTTCACCTGCTGGCTCCTCCCTGCATTCTGCTACAGTTAAAACTAAGAGCTTTGGAGAAGAAAATAGTACTGTTTCATTCTTCAAAATGTGAGCGCATGTTTACTTTTAGTGTTGGCTATGAGGAGTATGTTTGGAAGTTTGCCACCACCAGCAGATGCTTAGTGGACTAAGCATCCAGGAAGACAACCTGGAATGGGTCTTTGAGCTGCAAAGAGTTCTGCTCTTGGTTGATTGGCCCCTGGAGGATGTCAGTTTCCCATTGTTCAGACAGTGCAATGATTAAGTCAGAAGTCCAGTGACCTGGGAGGAGATCAGAGAGGAAAAACCATCCACCATCCTTTGGCCTAGGTATCAATGTGGGTTCAGTTGGGGACTAAAAAGAAGAGAATCAGAGTTCAGTTATGGATCCAGCAAGCCTGTTCCAAGTGAGTATAATCCGATCCAGTGGTCTAAATACCTCATAATAAGGAGAGGCTCGGGATGGGGCTAAGAACTCTGCCTTAATGTCGGAAGACTTGGGTTCAAGTTGGGAGTTCTGCCATGGACTCCCTTTGGGATGGACACAAGCCAGCTAACCTCTCGGTTCCCTCAGTACCCTTACCTGTAAAATGAGTGTTGGAAAAATGAATAGTCGGGAACAAGTGTTTTATATATTGTAAAGTGCTTTGTCAACTGTGAAGTGCCGTGTCACTGTTATTCTGTGATTTTTGCACAGCCAGGTTCAATAAAAGCAGCCTTCGTGTGACTTAGACACTTTCACCTCAGCTCTCTTCCAGATCCTCCTATAGCCGGTCACTGGATAGGTAGGTGCCCCTAACTGGGCCTCGGAGGGCTCCCTTGCCGCAATAAAAGCCCCAGGACCTCCTCAGTCCACGTGCTTTTTGTGGCAGAAGGCGACCAGCTGACCACAGAACCATGAACCTGAGACAGGAAGGTGCTCACAGCAGCACAAGACTGTGCCCATCCTATCATATACCAACGTTACCTGGAACTTCTATGCTAAGAGGAGCCTCTAACTGTTCTCTTGAAAAGGAAAAAAAAAAAAAAAACCCTACACCCTGGGGTCTCCTATACCCTGATGCCCACTCATTTTCTACGAGCCCTAGCTGTTCAAATGTGGTCCTCAGTTCAGTGTCATGAGAGAGTGTGCTAGAAGTGCAGACTGTTGGGCCCCACCCCAGACCTGACTGACTCAGCTATTCAAGTAAGGTGATTTGTAGGCCCGTTTAAACTTGTTATCAGAATCTCCCGGATGCCAGCCTGGGGATTAGGAAAGACTTCTTGTCTGGATTCTGCCAGTGATGCACTGTAAGACCATGAGCCACTTTGGGTTTCAGTTTCCTCATCACATAAGGTAGAGGTGGGACTGTATCTGCGGTTTTCAGGCAAGGTCTGGGACACCCTAGGGCTTGCACAGATGTCAGGGATTACTGAGGAAGTAGAGGGGAAGAGGAGGGGGCGCCCGGGGGGAGGGGATTTGTTCCCCTCCCACAAATGTCCCATTGTATCTGGGGTGGAAGAGGGTAGTTTGCAGTGTAATTGACATATAACATTACATTAGTTTCGAGTGTACAACACAACAATTCAATATACATATATATTATGAAATAATTGCCACACTAAATCTAGTTAACATCCATTCATCACCACAAGTAGCTATATTTTTTTCTTCTTGTGATAAGAACTTTCAAGATCTCTTAGAGACTTTCAGATATACGATACAGTACAGCTAACTCAAACCATGAGGGTTTGAACTGCATAGGTCCACTTGTATGTGAATCTTTTGAGTACAGTACTATAAGTGTATTTTCTCTTATGATTTTCTTTTTTTTTTTTACTTGTTAGAATCTAAATTTTAATTTTAACGGTTTAAAACATTTATTCAGTGGGTAACTTATAAAATCTCTTATGATTTTCTTAACATTTTCTTTTCTCTAGCTTACTTTAAGAATATAGTCTGTAATACATATCACATACAAAATATGTATTAATCAACTGTTTATGTTATCAGTAAGGTAGCTGGTCAATGGTAGGCTATTTTTAAGCTTTTTTGGAGTCAAAAGTTACACCTGGATTTTTGACTGTGCACATTATCCAAGGGTCAGTTGTATCATTACCTATAGCCTCCATGCCATACATTATATCCCAGGTCTTACGTGGTTTATAACTGGAAGTTTGTACCTTTTGACCCTCTTCCTCCATTTTACCCATTCCCCCATCCCCCACCTCTGGCAACCACTAGTCTCTTCTGTTACTATATCTATTTTATATACCGAGTTTCTCGAGAAAAGGATTCTGTTGTTAAAATAAAGTTTGGGTCCTTCAGCACTGTAATCTGATGATTTGTGTCTAGTCCCTAAGAAGGAGGGAAGTAATGGTGCTCTCTGGTATCCTCAAGTCTCTGCCCATCAGTCCATCAGTTCAGAAACCGTTTATTGTTTACCTGTGCACCATGAAATCAGTGCGTGTGACATGTACCTTCAAGCCCTGGCTTGCTCTTGCACACAAGCTGCATGACCAGCCCAGTGAGCACTCAACAACAGATTAGGAGAGGAGCCAGCACCACGCCAGGCCGCTCCTCTCAAGCCCTTCTCTTGCTGGCTCTGTCCAACCTCCTAGGCTCTGTACTATTTCCCCTTCCTCAATCCCCACCCCCTATGCCCCCTTCCTTAAACATGTTTGAATACTGAGAGAGAGCAAGGCTCCCTGCTAGTGTCCTTCCCATACATAGATGGATGGACATAGTCCCAGACCTCTGGGAGACCATGTCTTGACCAAAGTCCCTGATTTTAGCCTCCCACCTCACTAACCTGAGGTTTCCTTCTCTTGTGCCAGACCTCTGTGATTTGTGATCTGCTGTGGGATCTATCTAGATCCATCATCAGACAGATTTCTGATGGTGGGCAAACCCTTGCCTCTGCCTTGGCATGTTGGCTCCAGGCTGATAGCCGTGGTTATGCGGAAGAGATCATGAAACCTGTAGGGTAGAATTAGAACTTAAAGGGGATTGGGTACCTCAGCTAGGGAGGCACAGAATAAAATCCAGAAGGAATGAAGGAGATCCTCTATAGGTGGACATCGAGGTTGTTTCTAATTTTCTGCTATTTTAAACTGTAGAATATAACACAGCATCTTCAAACATAGATCTGCGTGCACATCTATTACCTCCGTTGGATAAATCCCTGAACATGTGACTGCTGTTTCAAAGGGTGTGTGTACTTTCAGGTCTGCATTGCATTTCCCCAAACTTGAATGTGTTTCCAGATGTTGACAACGAAAACTTGTCTTTCCTCCCAGGCCAGATCTGTTGAGATCTGAAGGTATCCCCAGTACGGAGGTGGCTCCCGCTGCATCCCCTTTGTCCGGAAGTCCCAAAACGTCCACCTCAAGCAGCAAGAGCCGCTATCGTAGCAAGCCACGCCACCGCCGAGGGAACAGCAGAGGCAGCCACAGTGATTTCGCAGGGATCTTGAAAAACCAGCCAGCCCAGGACAGTTCACCCCATCCCACTGACCTACACCACACTCAGTCCCAGTACCCTTCTCCCCATCACCACCATCCTCTGCAGCAGCAGTACCAGCAAGCCCCCCCTGCCGTGTCCCAGAGTCACCATCCCAGACTCAGTATGCACGGACAGGACATTGCCACCTGCGCCAACAACCTGAGGTATTTTGGCCCAGCAGCGGCCCTGCGGAGCCCACTCAGCAACCATGCTCAGAGACAGATGCCCGGTTCCAGCCCTGACCTCATCTCCACGGCCATGGCAGCGGACTGCTGGAGAAGCTCTGAGCCTGATGCAGGCCCAGCTGGACCCTGGGGCTGTTGTCAGGCTGACCCTTACGACCCCTGCCTCCAGTGCAGGCCAGAACAGTGTGGGTCCTTGGACATACCCTCTGCCGAGCCAGTGGGGAGGGGCCCCGACCTTTTCAAGTCACCAGCACACAATCCCCTCTTGGAAGAGGCCCAAGGTTCCGAGAAAATGGGAGAAAGGGAATTCAAAGGCTGCAGGTCTGCGTCATCCCTTGGCATCCCTCACCACGTCACCCCCCCAGTGCTACCTCGAAACACAAGGCCCCTGCAAAAGGTAAGCTGTAATGACAGCCCGTCATGTTGTACACATTAGAAAGCCTACATCATGTGTCCGTTTTGTAAAAGGAAGAGATGACAGAAGCATAAACAGAGGTTTCTTTGACTTTAAATGCTCTCTCGCCACACTGCTTAAGTGATGGACTAGAGACTGTGCTTTGGCAACTATGGAACCAGAGGACTGATTCAAATGTAGCTAGGGATATATAATCAAAACTAAAACTATCCTAGTGTAGTCCTGATGGATGTTGCAAGAAGCAAGGATCCCGTTATAAAACAAGTTTGAGAAACAGTATTCTCTCTCTCCTCTTAGAGATTCCTAATGAACATCTACAAATCCTAGGCTTTAAAAAGTCATACGATTCTTTGTTTCATCCAGCGTTTCCCTCACCTATTTGGCCATAATGGCTTTAAAAATAGTATCTATTAATATCCCATGGAACTAGCTTTCTTCACAATATATTTTGGATGGGTGCCTGGCTGGCTCTGTTGGTAGACTCTCAAGCTTGGGGTCGTGAGTTCAAGCCCCATGTTGGGTGTGGAGCCTCAAGAAAAATAAAATATTTTAAAAAAACAATATATCTTGGAAAACCCTACCTTTATTAGTAACCATCATGACCCAGTGAGGCCTCCATCACTAAAACCTGTTCCTCCTCTTCTTCTCACCCACTGGCTGCCTAGGTTTTATTAGCTTGGAGGCGGTGTACCATAGTGGTTAAGAGCATGAACCTGGGAGCCAGAGAGATCTCAGTTCAAAGCAGAGCTCTTCCACTTAGAACTCTATTGGTTCTAAGAACCAATAGTTCACTATTGGTGAACTATAAATGGGGAGCAGAGTGGGCTCTGCCTCATTGGTTGATGTGAAGATTAAGTGAGTTAATACATATAAAGCACTTAGAACAGGACTGAGAACATAACAATCTTCCAAAAATGTTAGCTCATCTTGCTAATGAGTTAAAAATAAGATTATATATGAAAAGTGTTTAGCACAGTGCAAACACCCACTCAGTTCTCAGCATTGCCTCATCTCGTCAGCATTCATCAGGAGTGCAGTTGACGGAATAAAAGGGTCTAAAATGTAAATGAGTATGTTTCAGTCAACTAGACATTTAAAAGAAGTTGACATACCTGTCAGAATGGCTAGAATCAAAAAGACAAGAAATAACAGGTTGGAGAAGATGTGGAGAAAAGGGAACTCATGTGCACTGTTGGTGGGAATGCAAACTGGCGCAGCCATTGTGGAAAATAGTATGGAGGTTCTGCAAAAAATTAAAAATAGAAATACCATGTGATCCGGTAATTTCACTTCTGGGTATTTGCCCAAAGAAAACAAAAGAACTAATTAGAAAAGATACATGTACTCCTGTGTTTATTACAGTATTGTTTACAATGGCCAAGATATGGAAATAACCTGAGTATCCATCAATGGATGAATGAATAAAGAAGATGTGGGGGGTGTGTGTGTGTGTGTGTACGTACGTACATACATACATACATATACACAATGGGATATACTCAGCCATAAAAAAAAAAAGAATGAAATCTTGCCATTCATGACAACGTGGATGGACCTATATGGTATTATACTAAGCAAAATAAGTCAGACAGAAAAAGACAGATACTATATCAATCACTTACATGTGAAATCTAAAAAATAAAACAAAGGAACAAACACAAAAACCCAGAAATAGGTTCAAAAATATGGAGAACAAATTAGTGGTTGCCAAAGGAGAGGGGGGTGGGGATAATGGGTGAAATAGGTAAGGGAGATTAAGAGGTTCCACCTCCCAATTACAAAATAACTCACAAGGGGTGATGAGTTAAGCATAGAGAATATAGTCAATAACATAATAACTTTGTAAGGTGACAGATGATAACTATTTATTTTGGCAAGCAGAGCATAATATATATGATTGTTGAATCTCTACACTACACATCTGAAACTAATACAATACTGTACCTCAGTTATACTTCAGTTTAAACAGAAGTTGAGGCTCAGAGCTACTGTCTCAGAACTGTATTTCTTCCCTCCATGCAGTGCTGCTGCCGACAAAGCCTTCCCAGAGATTAAAATTGTGTTTGGGCAGTAAATTTGGGTTATTCTGCTCCCCCACATGGAGCATGTATTTTTGGCCAGGAATACATGGCCAGGAACACGTATTTTTTGGGTAACAACTTTGAGATATAACTCACGTACCATAAAGTTCTCCCATTATATGTACTACCTCGTTCATTTATTCACAGTTAGGCAATCATCACCAATTTTAGAATATTTTCATCATCCCAAAAAGAAACCCTGTGCCCTTTAGGAGCACTCCAGTCCACTCCCAAATAACACATACCTTTGAACCATTCTGATGCCATTTTGATGAATTCTGTGGGCCAGCGGGGCCAGGGAGTGCACTCCCTCTACATTTGGCCTCATTGGAACAGTACTCCCACAGGGTGGTTCCGCTTCTTTTGACCAAGATCCACTTCCATGGTGCTTCGGGTTAATGTCATCTTGGCAGTATAACCCCATGCCTGTCCTCTCTACTCAAAAAAGCATATCAGAATACAAATGGATAAGAATGATGTTATGTTAAAACTGACTTTAAAAATAAATTATCCTCAACCTTTGGTACTGTTACTTGGGCCCGGTTACCCACCTCACAATGGGTGGGAGTAATCCAGTGTGTCATGATTCTGTGGGTAAGGATGGTTTATTTTAAGTGTGGCTGTTTTTTTCTTTTTAAGATGTGGAATTTATTAACATAATGTATTATTTGCCCCAGGGGTACAGGTCTGTGAATCATCAGGCTTACACACTTCACAGCACTCACCATAGCACATACCCTCCCCAATGTCCATAACCCAACCACCTTCTCCCTACCCTCTCCCCCCAGCAACCCTGTTTGTTTCATGAGATTAAGAGTCTCTTATGGTTTGTCTCCCTCCCGATCCCATCTTGTTTCATTTTTTCCTTCCCACCCCCAAGACCCCCCGCCCTGCCTCTCAAATTCCTCATATCAGCGAGATCATCTGATAATTGTCTTTCTCTGATTAACTTATTTTGCTCTAGTTCCATCCATGTCATTGCAAATTTCTTTTGTTGGCTGCATAGTATTCCATTGTGTGTGCCCACATTGCATGTACCCCTTCAGATCACTACATTTGTATCTTTAGGGCAAATACCCAGTAGTGCAATTGCTGGGTCATAGGGTAGCTCTATTTTCAACTTTTTGAGGAACTGCCATACTGTTTTCCAGAGTGGCTGCACCAGCTTGCATTCGCACCAAAGTGTAGGAGGGTTCCCCTTTCCCTGCATCCTCGCCAGCATCTGCCATTTCCTGACTTGTTAATTTTAGCCATTCTGACTGGTGTGAGGTGGTATCTCACTGTGGTTTTGATTTGTATTTCCCTGATGCCGAGTGGTATGGAGCTAAGTGTGGCTTTTCTTATGTTCTCAAAGAGAGATGGTCTCTTCCTTTTGAAGGAAGATCAAATTCTCAGACAAGACACTTACATAGCCTTTCTAGATCAACCACAGAGCCCTGGCAATCACAAGGCCTCAGATGTCCCAACCAGAGCTCCCTTATCCTTACCAACAAGCTGACTCCATAAGGCACTGTGCACCTGTTTTGTATTCATGGTGGAAGGAGAAACACAAGATATGGTTTGACACTCAAATAATGTCTGCCTTGGTAGTGCAAATGAGCATAGTAACTATAATATTAGTGAAAAAGTGATTGGTACATAGAAGGGAAAAGGTAGTTGTTGGGTTTTGAAGAACCAAAAGATCACTTCTTGGTGGAGTCCCTAGGTCAGGGCCTGGACCATGAATGACAATGATTACAAGAGACTGCCCCCAAAATCCAAGACCTTCTCTCTAGTTTCCCCTCCCCATCACTCACCTTGGATAATCTCATGGAGTCCTTACCTACTAGAGGGCAAAATTCCCATTTACTCAGTTCTGTGTGTCTTCTAGCATCTAGTACAGACCCTGTCCTCAGGGACACCAAGGAAAGGTTGCTGAATGAATGAGTGAAAAAATATATGTTTATTTTTTTAAAAGATTTTATTTATTTATTTGAGAGAGAAAGTACGAGCAGGGGGAGGGGCAGAGGGAGAGGGAGAGAGAATCTCAAGCAGACTCCCTGCTGAGCAGGGAGCCCAATGCGGGGCTCAATCCCAGGATCCTGGGATCATGACGTGAGCCAAAGGCAGGTGCTTAACCAACTGAGCTACCCAGGCACCCCTGAAAATATATATGTTTAAAGATGACACTTAGCAAACTGCTATTTAGTGCCTTTTTGATTATAAACATTTTACACCAAATGTTGTGTGTGTGTGTGTGTGTGTAAGAGAGAGAGAGAAAGAGAGACACAGATTAAGATAAAACTCTTTCTCCTTGTTCTCCTCAGAGTGGAGATGACTCCTCAGAAGAGGAAGAAGGGGAAGTAGATAGTGAAGTTGAATTTCCACGAAGACAGAGGTAAACCCAACAAACACATGTACTGCTTTCAGTGTAATGGGGAAAATCCCGAGTCTGCCATACCTCCTGTTCAGGCAGGTCACTTTCAAACAACTCCCCTGTAGGGAGATTCGAACTCATCATCCCTGTTTTCCCATTGTGACGTTTTGGCCACTCAGTTTGCATAGCAGATCCTAGTTCATTAGAATTCATTTCTTAGGAACTTCAAGATAAGGAGCATAAATAGGGATTCAAGGTTACAGTTGAGAATGGAGATGAGAGATGACCCTCCTGTTTTGTGGATAATTTGATTGGTTTTTGGTGTACCTCCCTATATTAGTCTCTCTGGCTACTATAGCAAAATACCACAGGCTGGATGGCTTCAATAATGGGAATTTATCTTTCACTGTTGAGACTGGGAAGTCCAAGATAGGGTTCCTGGTGAGGACTCTCTTCCCAGCTTGCAGACAGCAACCTTCTTGCTGTGTCCTTACAGGGCTGGTTGGGGGGAGAGGGGTAGTATGGAAAAGAGGGGGGTACAGAAGTGGGGGTAGAGATCTTCCCCTTTTAAGGTCACAGTCCCGTGGGATTATGGCCCCACCCTTTTGATCTCATTTGACCTTATTTACCTCCTAAGAGTTTATGTCCAGATTCGGTCATACTAGGGATAGGGCTTCAACATATGAATTGGGCTTGGGGGTGGACACACTTCAGTTCATAGCACTCTCCATGGCTTTGGATATTATGCCTTAAATTAAGTATAATTAATTAAATTGAGTCATCACTCAGCCCAGCCTTAAAAATCGCTTCCTGCCTAGCCAGGAAGAATAATTTTGCTGGTAGGATTAAATTGAAGAAGGACCACATCCCCCTACTTCAGGAAGAAGAGATGTCTTTTGTAGAAGTAGGGAAGCTCGTTTTCCTCCAAGAAAGCCTGTTCTGCGAGTACATGCTCTGTTCTTGAAGCATAGGGCTCTAAGAACCACCCCCAGGAAGGCTTGTGTACCTGCCCAGAAACAGGAATTCTCTGCAAACCAAGGGACTCCTTTGGTAAATTGAATTCCAGGTCCTCACACTGCCCCAAAATTAAATCCGTTCTCACTCCCTGAGCTACTCTTGCCACATTGCTGTTGCTACCTTATTGTCTCCTTGGTTTCTCCGATGCGGTGAGATTGGATCCAAGTAAAGCGTCTTCATTCTCTGAACTCACACTACTGACTTCCCAGTTTATTACTTCCAGCTTTGTTCCTGAGACGCACCATGAGCTTGACCCACCTGATGGCTTCCTGCCTTTCTTGTTAGCTTCAAATTATATTTATGTCTTCACTGCATGGTTTTATTTTTATATGATAACATTTTTCTCCCTATCCCCTTTCTGTTACCAGCCTTGAGATGTTGTGTGAATCCTACTTTAATTTCCCTTTCCCATCTGGGCTCTTTTCATGTGTCCTTGATTCCTGCCCACCCCCGGCCCCCAACCTCAGCCTATCACCTGGCCTGGTCAGTGGCAAGCCTCAGATCATAAGCCATCAAAATCACTTTGTACTAAGAGATACAGAAAGATCAGACAATGACAAAGAAAAAAGGGAGTCTTCTTTTTATTATTTGTTTTGTTTTGAAACCAATGTAAGCTAACGGCATTCTTATTTACTAGTCTACTTATAAACAAGGGGAAAGAAATGAAATTTTGGCAAATCCTCGCTCCGCCTGCCTGTCCCCCCACCTCCATCTTGCCTCATCTGAGCTAAACTCACATGTTCACTGGAATGAGCCATTAACTGATGAGGCAATGCCCCCAGCTTTGGAGTGAATGTTCCTTTCCAAGCTCATTTCCACTGGGGGTCAGCTGACAGGGTGAAGGCACTTGGCCTTCCAGGGCTGCCATGCCCAATGGGCATTGCAACTGGGGTGAGGGAAGAGGTAGGGAATGACATGGTATGAGCTTTGTAGACCCAGCCCAAGACACAGCTCTGCATTTTCTGGCGATGTGGCCTGGAACAAGTCACTTTCGTTATCTGGCTCCAGTTTTATGATCTAGAAAGGAGTTAGACCAAAGAATCTCCCAAGACTCTCTTACCTGTAAGAATCTGGGATGTCTGTGCACAAGAAGCAAGACAGCTCCATACCGTGTGTGCGTGTGCACACTGGGGTCAGACCAGCTGAGGTTTTCAAAGACCAGCAGTAGCCAGCAGCTCTGTAATGTAGTGTTTAGCTACAGAAACATACAAACCAAATGCAAAGGGAGAGTCAGGTTTCCTTCTCTTTTGCTTTAAAGTTAAATAGTGCCTATCTATCTGTATTCGAATCTCCCTTGGGGGTTGGGAGAAGCCTAGATGACCTCTTGGCGAGGCTACGAGTCTACGATGGAGAGGCGAGGGAAGAACAGCAGTTGTGCATGTGATTAAGGTCCTCTGGTTCTTTGTGGTTCTAGGCCCCATCGCTGTATCAGCAGCTGCCAGTCGTATTCGACCTTTAGCTCTGAGAATTTCTCTGTGTCTGATGGAGAGGAGGGAAATACCAGTGACCACTCCAACAGTCCTGATGAGTTAGCAGACAAGCTTGAAGGCCACCTGGCGGAGAAGCTGGATGACCTACTGTCGCAAACACCAGAGATCCCCATTGAGATATCCTCGCATTCCGACGGGCTCTCTGACAAGGAGTGCGCTGTGCGCCGCGTGAAGACACAGATGTCTCTGGGCAAGCTGTGTGCAGAGGAACGTGGCTATGAGGTGGGGCTTCTCCCTTCTCATCACTGTAGCTTCTTGGGCTTACAGCATGCCTGTATCCCTGAGCCCTTTACAGTTACCATTTAGTATATGAGATAAGACAGGTGCCCCCAAGAAGTAAGTAGAATCCAGAGATCCACACAGCTCCCCAAATAAGGGCAAGGCTCCCAAATGAGGCACAAACATCAAATTGCACAGGCCTCCTTCATTCTAAGGTCAGGTCAAACATGACCTCCTCCTGACCTTGTCTCGCTCCTCCGTGTCCCCACCATCCTCTGGATGACCCTTTCATTGCACATGGGACACTTGAGGTCCTGCACAGCACAGGCCAGTCCCTGTCTTGGAAGATGGGCTAGCACAGTGGCTGAGAGGGTACACCGGGCATCTGAACAGATGCCACACCCAGCTGGGGTTCTCTACTGACTGCCACGCTGGGCAAGCTGCTCACCTGTGGGTCCGGGTTGGTGTCTGCAAGGGGCAGTGATGACAGCATCGGTCTCCTAGGGTGCTTGTGAGGATTAAGTGGGTTTCTGGACATAAAGCACTTGCAGGAGTGCCCAGATCACAGCCGACACTATGCAAGCGGGGCTGAGGTGGTCCTGCTGTAATTGCCATCATCATCGTGGCCGTCATCACCTTTCTAGGTCTTCTTTCTCCAGGAGCCCTGCAAGGGCAGGACCTGGCCTCATGTATCTTAGCCAGCAACCCAGAGCGGTGCCTGTCACGTGGGAGGTGGCCAATACGCATTTACTAAGCAATTGCCCAAGTGAATGGAGATTTTATTTTGTCTCCACTTTGCAGAATCCTATGCAGTTTGAAGATTCGGACTGTGACTCTTCCGATGGAGAGTGTTCTGACGCCACGGTGAGGACCAATAAACACTACAGCTCTGCTACTTGGTAATGGAGGAAAACCCATCCTGAAGATCTCATGACTATACTGGCATTTCAGATCCTTTCCCCCGTCCCCTCCAGACTCTTTCCCCTCTCTCCTTGCTTTTTTGTCTGGGAAGAGAGCTGCCCCATCTTTCTTACCCCTAGAAATGAGCTGCAATAACAGGAACATGAGACTTCGCAAATCTCTGGAAAAAAAATATCCAAATGAAATTAAGTCTCACTGAACATTTCAATCAAGAATGGCAGGGATCTATTTTATTGAATATTCTAGCTACTGTAACATTGATATTTATTTTTGTTTGACATTTTAACACTTTGTACTGTAAAGAGTGAACTATATATGATAGAGAGAGACAATAATTTCTTGCAAAAAAAAAAAAAAGAGAGAGAGAGAGTGAGAGATAAAGGAAGAAAGAAGTGGAATTTAGGAACAACATCCTTGGGAATTTGTGGGGCCAGGAGGTATTATTGCTACTTGAACAGGGGACCAGTTCTTTTGGCCATAAGTGACTGAAGAAGAGCCAGAGCAAGACATATTATTTTGGAAAACAAAGAAAAACAAAAGAAAAACAATTCCAGGTAACTTGTGAACAGACCACATTAAGTTCAACCAGCTTGTCCACATGGGTGATGGAAATTGTCTAGAAAAGATTGGTGACCAGATACTTACATCCAAGGTCGTTGAGGGCATGTGCTTCCTCCAGGAGGAAGAAGACAACTATACCTGTGGAAGCTGATTTCATTTGAAAAATTTGAAGCAGCATTTTGTAGTGAGACTTACAGATAGCATCAGACCTTGTCTTTGACAAATACTTCCCTTTTTAATGCCTTCATCATCATGACCTTGACCAATGTGTGACCTTGACCATTGTGTTGATTTTTCAGACTCAAGTGCCATTTTCTTGTAGCCTATTTCCTTTCCACCTGTTGACCACTTCCTTTAGGAAGAAGGGTGAGGGTGCTGATTTAAGAGAGAGAGGAGATTTACAACAGTATTTGAAAAGCAAATGTGGAATTAATGGAAGTACATTCTCACAGTGTCTCAGTTGAGCTTCAAGCAGAAGATGAGACTGCCCCTCTGTGGAGCCCGGTTGCTTGTCTACTAGAGTCATATTGATTCAAACAGAACACACTTTGAAGGCAGCTAGCATGTGTGTGAGTCTGTCCAGTGTCCAACCCCAAACCATCCCCCTTGTTTTCATTTATTAACTCATCCTATCCGGGAAGCTTTAGTGCGTGGCTACCACTAGCAGCATAAAGGCAAAACAAGCATCTTGCAAAAGGCAACCCCTTTCCCACCACAACAGCATTTTCATTAAATGCAACTTGTAAAATGTACTCTGGATCAATGCAGTTTGGAATAATTAGATTTGGAAATTTCTGGAAAGAACAACCTGTGCTGAGCAGCAATTAGAAAGATCTGACATTGTCCAAGGCATGAGGTTCTACTTGGCTTGGGGTCATGCGCTTTGAAAAGTACCCCAGGGTACTTGATGGTACCTCAGCTCCAAGGAAATTTTTACCTAGAATTTTATATAGAAGCAGGTGTTGGCCTAGTTTCCGTCTCTTTCTCCAAGAAAGGTTACTGTCAAACAACCTCTCTAGGCTCAAGACCTAAAGACCGTGGCTCAACGCTTTGGTACTGCATCATGTTGGACATTAGGAAAGACTTACACATACAGGTATTAAACTATTTCCAACTCAGATGAAACCATTGCCCCCCCTTGGTGTCACTGATTGCATCAGCCAAAAAGGAAAGGCGGAGGGAATTTAGAGCAGTTCCTTTTGCTTGTTTGATCCCTCCATTTGTTTACACTTTATGTTGAGACATTGATTTAAAATTTAGTGTCTATAATTTATAGCTCTTAGCTTGGATGAAGGAGAATGTTTAACTTATACAGAGAGCAGTATTGTTTGCATTAAATTATTCCATTTTGTATAAATTCTGTAGCTGGACTACATGAAAAATCTTAAGTTATGGCATTATTATCATTGTTATTTTATTTTATAATTATCATTCTCATTTTCTGTCGATCAGAAGGTGTGGTTTACGGTGTAGCACAATGATTGTGTGTATTGCTAACCATGAATAATGATGGCTTTTTATGACCTTGAAGGAATGAAAATGGAACTGCCATTTGGGAGCTCCCTGGTACTCTCCTTAGTTGTAGTCCCTCATTTTCTCTGTGCAACAACAATCATTGAGGGTCTGGGTTCTGCACTGGAGCCCAGTGGATACACTGTGGTTTTTGACTTGATCCTCAAAGCTCCCAGGTGGGCAGGTGACTGAGTGGATGGACAAAGACTTCAAAAGCTGTAAACTTTCTCAAGTTTCATAAGAAATAAAATCATGGGACTACCTTAGAAGCCAAAAAGAGAATTATTTAGCGCCCTGGGAGGAACCGGCCTAGGGAGTTTCCTCCCGGGCCCGTGGGTTAGGCAGCGTCGGGAGCGGTTGGCAGTTTGTCATCTCCTTCCTGCTGGGTCCTGTAGCATCAGAACCTTTTTTTTTTTTTTTTTCTCCTGGCTGGGAATAGCAAAGAAACATTAAAAAGAGGCAAAAAAAAAAAAAAAAAAAAAAAAAATATATATATATATATATATATATATATCATGACACTGACATAAATTGCCCAGCTGTGATGTCATCCCATAAAAGATAAGAGAAATTCTAGAAGGAGGCCTAGTCGCTTAGAGGATGATAGGGCTGGAAAGGTACCTTGAAAGGCCGTAGTTTGCATCGTTGGACTTTCAACCACACTGTACTGTAAATCCCTCTGCTTCGTCGCTTCTGGGAACAGAGAAGCTACAAGCCTATATCCTCCTTCTCTCCAACTTGAAACATGCTTCAGCTTGTCCAGTTCTTGCCCACCTCTAGTGGCAAAAGGGAAACATGAGGGTCAGCTTCTGTCTTAGGCCTCTCAGTGATGGTCTTCCCAGAAAACCCATACCTGATACCTCATAATTCTGATATTTTTTTGAATTCCCATCTTGACTGCTTGTCATGATAATGCCATATCTACCTATTGGGTTTACTGTTATGAGCATGTTAGGCTAGTAGGCAGTGTTGAATCTTTAGCCATTCATTGTATTGTCAAGAGTTGAATAAAGTTCCACGTTGAACGTTTTTATTTTTATTTTTATTTTTAGTAGAAGTGACTAGAGGCTTCAGAAGAGAACAGTATTGATAGCCTAAGTTAAAAGCCTTTTCTAGAGTAGCCTGGCCCTTCACTGCCTGCCTTGAGCTAACCAGGACCGTTGTGAATCGGTGTATGTTTCTTTGAGAACAACTCCACAGTTACCTGAAGACTGCTGCATCCAGAGCTCGGGGAATCAAAGAGCTGATTCTTCAGTCCTCAGGACTCCGATTTCAAGCTTCAGTGTTGGGATTGAAAAGTTAACCCCCTTGGGATGAGTGTTCACACTCATTTAGCATCTGTTTTTGACTGACTGCAAGATAATGAGTTTTCATTTGTCTTGCCGGTGAACATTTGGTTTTGATTTTATCTATTTCTAGATCATGTCCTCTGATAACAATTACTATTAAAATTGCTTAGCAGAGGGACTGACAAGCCAACATCCTCTTTGAAATGGTAATAGACCTTACTGAAGTTTCGATCTGTTTGTAAGATAGTGGGAGTTCCTACTCAAAAAGGGTAAAGATGCTAGCTAGCTCTGTGGTAAGATGATTTGGTACAGCCTACTAGAATTTCAGATATTTAAAAACTTTAGCATCAACAAATCATCCTTATAGAATTAAGGATTTTTTTAAAGTAGTGCTTAGAAAGTACTGGACATTTCAGGGCCTCATTGTGCTAACTTTCCCTCTTACCCCAAGTAATAGATGTGATGGTATTGGAGTTTCCTGGTACCAACCCAATTTTAAATGCCCTTACCTACTGTGAAACACTGACATCCATTCTGTGTGAATGCAGCCTTACTGATCAAATATTTTACTTTTTTATCCCCATGCTCTTTTGTCTCAAGTTTTTCCCCTTTTCGTAAAATGTTCTCATTTGAACTTCCTGGAACTGAATTCTCCAGAATAGAACACATTTGGAATCCAAGTACCTGCTTTGCAGTACAGTGTGCTGTTTTGTTTTTCCACTAAGCCAGAAACCAAAATAGGACTGCATACTGCCCTCCACCACCTCCACCCCAAACGCCCAAGATTGAGGTTACTTACTGACCGCCATCTTCTTTCCTACTGAGCCTGGACCCAGCCTCAGAACCTCTCCCAACAGATCACTGGGAACAACCACCACCACCTGACTGGAATTGGTGTGTAAGGGGAGATCTGTTTTGGCATCCCAATCCTAAGCTCATAATTAATTCTCTCAAGGTGGTTTGGTATCTTGAGTTAGCCCTGAAGGGAGAGTGACAGGATCACACCAGTGTCCTCCTTCTGGAGCCCACCCTGTGGCTCACTGGCAGGAAAAAAGCCACTTGCTTCCACCCACTGCCCTTTTGGATAATTCTAATTGAAGAATTTCCAAACACTGATGAATGGAATTCAAAAGTGTCTCTTCATTTATATCATTTCATTGTGTTCAATAAGCATATTCCTCCCTCCCCTTCTACGAACAAAGTTAGTATGTTAAGTCCCAGTTATTTGCTTCTTTGTTAGGCTCCATGAGGCTAATGTACCAAAACAATGTGATACTTTTTAAGACTTTGACTTGTACTGTCAGTATGAATTTAGTGCCTTTCCAGGCAGCAAGATTTTTCTTCTTCGCTGATTTCATAGAATAAGCACCCTTGTATACCCCAGCACTAATGTTACCAACCTCATAGACTAGCACGTAAGAATTACATTAGTTGGCTCGTTTGCATGGTACAACCAATACTGCAAGCACCTAGTCAAACTGGAATGAACAAGGTTGCCAAGTGGAAGACTCTTCTGGAACCTGGAACACTTCTCAGGGACAAATGGCAGAAGAGGGGAGCTCTCAAAGCACTGCTTTGAGAAACAGGGTTACCTCAAAGGAGTTGGGGTGAGGCTTTTAACTGTCACATGATGAGGGTATCGTGGCAGGATTTCACAGAGACAGGCCCCCACTTGGATGCAAGGCTGCTGTAAGGAAACTTCCAGCAGAATGCCAGGCTTACTCTCTGGAGCCACTTCACAGCACTCAGGGGAACACCAGCTCCTGGCCCCAGGCCCCAGGACCTGCCAGTGACCTGGCAGAAGGGGTCCTCCAGTGGTTCTCCACAGAGAGCCCCCCAGTCAGAATGTGCAAGCTCTTAGGAAGATGTCCCTCAGGGACCATATTACCCAGGTGGCTCTCCACTTCTCCTCAGATTCCAGAAGTCAGAAGACCCACTTGGATTCTTGATTGCAGTAATTGGAGTTCCTATCAATTTGGAGCAAATTCTTTTCTGTGGCAAAGTCTCAAAATGAGCTTCGTCATGTCTCCTCTGGGTCTCCAGCCCCATCAGTCCCCCACTTCCTTTGGTTTCTGATGCCAGCTCCATCTGTACTGAGCGATTGTATGGTGAGGGGAACAAGAGCAATGAGCGAAGCAAACCAATGCATGGAATTAAACAAAAAGTGTGCTTCACTCTTTCCTGGTTGTGTCTTTTCCTAAGGTGCTGTGTGTGTCCTGAAAGCTGCCTTCACATCAAGGCACTTGTCAGAGCTTTAGGGAAGGGAAGACTCAGCAGGCAGGGTGTCCTGCGGCCAGGAAAGGCAGGTGTGGAGAAGCTGGTTTCTGTGGCTCTGTTGTTTCAGATACACCCATAGAAGGAAGGGAAGCCATTGTTTTCTTTGCTCATGGTCTCTCCTTGATTGTTTTGTCAGTCTGGACAAGAGCTTCCTGCCTTCCCACAGCTTCCCTGCTGCCGTCCATCTTGTAGTTCCTCCTATGTTATTAGTGACCCCACTATAAAGTGGGTGTAGAGAAGAAACAGAGGAAAACAAAAATCTGGCGTCCAAAGAGTCATCGTGGTAAGATGCCTCCTGAGAGCAGAAAGCTAAAACACCATTTTGGGTTATCCACTTTTCAGCCAATCCTAACTCCCACTGGCAGGGGGAATGAAAAGTTAGCAGCATGTCCACCACACACCACACAGAACATTTATATCCATTTATTTGGGAAACTGCTTTACCTGTAAACTCACAACTGGTAAGGCACATTGTAGCAAAATCATGGGGGAAGAGAAAGACAAACACAAGGATCCTGTGAAGGGTGAAGGACATGTACTTGCAATAGTGTAGAAAACACTGGTTTCCCCCTTCCCTCCCCCTCCTCCAGAACACACAAAGCCACAGATTTCACAAAGCCTTCTCCTCACCCCACTTGTTACCAAGCTTTCTTTAAAGCAACACAACTTCAAAAAT